ATGTGGTAGCTTTTAATAACATATTTTAGTCACACACTTCACATAAACATGGATCATCTAACAGCTTTAGGCCAAAAAGTAGAGGGAGTGCATCTGAATTTCAATGTTTTCATTTCCATATTCTCTAGCTTCTAGCGCTGTCCTCAGGAATGGAACTGATAGAACAGCTTGTCTCTACCAAAGCAGACAGCAGCTGGAGCTCTTAGATCAGAGAACATTCAGACCAGAGGAAATGTCATTCTTTTTTTTCCTCTGGGCCTTTTGAGAAACTAGACCTAAATTATAAATGATCTAGGTTGCCTGCTAGCAGCTTCTCTCCGGTACTGTCTTGAGAAGCCAACAAGACCTCCGCGGCCCCTGGAGGGAGCGCGCGGACTCCGGGATCCTGAACAGCAGCTCAGAGTTTTCTTACACATCCTCATTGCCCTGCTTTTCGCCAACTCTTACGGCAAATTCATTGTGGGGGCCCTTCCTGCTTTTTGTCGGTTTCTACTTCCTCACTCACTGTCTCTACCTCTCATTCTCCCCGTGAATGCCATCGCCCTGCACAAGCCCAGGGTAGCGCCCCCCTCCCTCCCCCAGGTCTTCTCCCTGGTGCCCTAGTCATCACTGATTAAAATCCTTCCTGCACACTTTAACCAGTGTCTGGTTGTGTTTGTCTCTGAAATGTGCTTGGCTGGCAGGCTCTGCCATCTGCCTCTGTTTACTCAGGATTTCATCCAGCTGTTTTCATTTTAAGTGGGGCTGGAGGCAGGAAATGCAGCCGACATACATTCTCATTTTTCTCCAACAGCCCCTCCTGCAGTGACCAAGCTGGGAAAGGCCCAGCCCCCAAGCTGGCGGTGAGGAAGCCAGGGGCTTCTCAGCACCCTCACTTAGAAGGAGGAGGGAGGGCCCAGCCCAGTGCTGAGGTATTCTGGAGAAGCAGATATGTTCAGGAAGAATTATTGGGGACAAAAGGTCAAATTTGGCCCCAATGTCCTGGAACAGAATGAAAAGAAACAAACAAAATGTTCCCCAGATGAGCAGAGAGGGGAGGCAAGGCTTCTCTCCAGGTGGTCTGTCCGGGCAGCCTGGCTCTTTGCTCCAGGAGAGAGAGGCTCCTCATCATCACCTCACACCCCCATCATGACCTCCTGGGCATGGGCTGGCTCACCCCTCTTCTGGGCTGCAGCCTCGGGGAGCGTGGAGAGCCCACTCTGACATGCTAGCATCCCCAACACATGTGCCCTCACTGAGCACGAGTTCCTGCACGTGGATGTTCTTGGGGTCACTCCTGCAACTGGGAAGCCTTCCTGTCCTGGAATTCCACCTGCCGGAGAGCAGGGACCCTGCCCTTCCCACTGTGGGAGTGTGCTTTCTTTATATCAGGTGGAAAGGGTTTGTTGAATGAATGAATGAATGAATGAATGAATGAATGAATGAGTGAATGAATGAATGTCAAAGCAGCCCACATGTTAGGGTCCATTTTTGGCAGGATGACAAGGGAATGCTTGATTCTCCCAGAAATCTCAGAATGTTCTGCCCTCATGGGGCCAAATTAGATCTTCTTTTTTTTTTTAATTTTTTTATTTATTTACGATAGTCATACAGAGAGAGCGAGAGAGGCAGAGACACAGGCAGAGGGAGAAGCAGGCTCCATGCACCGGGAGCCTGACGTGGGATTCGATCCCGGGTCTCCAGGATCGCGCCCTGGGCCAAAGGCAGGCACCAAACCACTGCGCCACCCAGGGATCCCCCAAACTAGATCTTCTTGCAAGGATAACTCACAAAATAGAGTCAAAATATACTCAGGGCATATTCTTTGTATCTAATGCGCAGACGTTTCCTCCACCTTATCTTGCCTTTAGAGGTAAGGAAATATTCTGGAGCATCAAACCCACGCTCTGAGCCCACCCCTGCCCGGGGCCGTCTGGCTGATCATGGGGCCTCCTCTTCTTGGACTGAGCCCAGTCAACAATGACCCTGAAGACCTCTGCCTTCCGCCTCCCTCTGTGTTCTGCTGGTAATGAGTGTCTCAGAGTTAATTTTATATCCAGCGAAATCATGTTTGAAAGATTATTTATTTTTCAAGCAGCTTGTATTACTTTTCCTTTTCTCATTCATTCTCCTCTTGTGCTCGCTTCGGCAGCACGTATACATTCTCCTCTTTCCGTGGGCATCACTGTCACAGACACTGGGAGGGACACACTTAAATTCTCCATGTGCTCACAGCAGGAGCAGGGACTGGACTCAGGGGACCGAGAGGGGACAGTTGGGTGGGAGCAGGGACATGCCAGGACCAGCTGGGGGGGACACTGCTTGGCGCATGGGGAGCTTGCAAGTGTCCTCATTGATATGCAGTAGAGCTGTTTTCAGCGGGGAGAGGCGAACTTAATGCATAGGGTCCCCCTGAGATTCAGAATTGTCATTGGCTGTGTCCAGCCCCGGGGAGGTCTGTGGTGTTTGATGTCATGGGCAGGAGGGGACATCTGCTGCCCCCTGACATGCACAGGTCTCCCAGGCATGCCTCTCTCTGGGCCTCAGCCCCCGTCTATACAAGGACTCCCCGATGAGTCCTGATGGATCCGAATGATGTGTCTAACTAGCACCCACTGGGAAGCAGGTTGCAGGCGTAGTTGCCAGAAGCTGCAGTGGGTGGCCTCTGACGGTGCGATGCAACAGGGGCTTCCAGCTCCCGGGGGACAGGGCAGGCAGGGGAGGTCCAGATACTCTCCTCCTCTCACACTGTCCTGGGTGATGTCAAAACATGGAATAATGCACCAAGTGCAGCCCCAGAACCCTGTGGTCTGGGCATGTGCCGTTTGTGCCTGTTTCCAGAGCTGGGAAAGGGGGCGGACAGCACCTGAACAGCCCTCCTGCAGCACTCCTGCAGCGCACCCCCCCCACCCCGCCCCCGAGTCTGCAGGGCTCTCAGGAGAAGTCACCTCTGGGCCACCCCCGCAGGAGCCCAGCCACCAGGGGACAGCAGCAGAGGGGCAGTGGGGTGGTCAGTGGGGATGGCTGTCACTTGGGGCTCACCACTCTAAGGAAAACTGGAAGCCCCTGGACTGACCCCTCACCCCTGGCCTGGACCCCGAGTGACCCCCAGACTCAGCTCAAGCTTAGGGCTTTCGGACACAGAGGTCCCACACACGGTGCTCAAGAGTCCCCAGGCATTTCCGCATGATCTTCCCCAGATCTCCAGTGTCATCATCCTGGGCACCGTTGTCCTCACCCTACTGTCCAGGGCACGAGGCCAGAGCTCCTGCCCAGCGCAGTGACTTTTCCCGCCTCTGCACCTGCGTCCTCCTCTCTCCTCCCTGGGACTCCTGACCCTGCTGGGAGTCCAACCATGGACAAGATGGGGGTGCTCATCTACCCCCCAAGGACGGAGGGCTCAGGGCGAGCTGGGGGCAGAGGCAGTGGGGACCCTAGGCTCCTCAGGTTACTGTGCAGAGTAGGAGACCTGCTTGACCCCTCGGTGGCCTCTTTTTTGTTTTAATTAATTTGATTTTTCCATTTTCATTTACATGCTAAAATTTTCAAATAGTACAAAAAGTAATAACTTAAAAGTAGAAATTTGTCTCCCTGCCCTGTACCTGGTTCTCTTGAAGGTCAGTGACAGCAATAGATGGGGGCCTCCTTTCCTGTCCCTCACTTAGGGTCTTGCAAGAGGGTCGCCCTGGTGATGTCAGGGCCCCAGGGCAGGCCCAGAGGGCAAGCTCTGCCACCCAGTGTGGAGCTGGGGGGTGGTCCTCCAGGCCGGCACCTGCGTCTGCTCTTCTCCTGCCCCCCTCTGCCCTCCTGCTCCGCGATGCCCAGAGGACACTCAGCTCTGCCTCCGCCTTCCCTGGAGCACCCCTCCCGTGGACACCCTTGGCCTCTGTCACTGGTCCCCAGGTGGCCCTGCCAACTCTGCCCCCAGCCTGGATCCCTAGCTCTGTCAGAGCCCCTTGCCCAGCCCCCAGACCGCATCACCGAGGCATGTTCCTCTAGGTCTGGTACGAACCCTTCACTCAGGGCCTGACCAGGGGCTGCTTCTGTTCAGAGACAGGTGACTGCGGCACAGCAGGGCAGAGGCAGGCAGGGGTAGGGCAGGGGGGCAGAGGGAGGGCCATGATGGGAAGGGTGGCTGTGCCCCCCATTGGGTCTCCATCCCAGGCTCTGGGCCCTGTCTAGCCGAGCTGTGTCCCTTGCCCCGTGGGGGTCAGGACAGCTTGCTACCTGCTGGGGGAGCCCCCCTGAAGGCATGTGCCCCTAACCCAGCCTCAGATTTCTGAATCCACTTGGTGAAGCCATCCCCCAGTTACCAGTTGGTCCCCAGAGAGATCTTCTTGATTTTGAAAGTCCCCGTGGCTCTGCCAGGGGACATTCTGATCCATGATTGCATGTAATCCTCTAGTAGCTGGAATGTGTGTGTGTGTGTGTGTGTGTGCGTGTGTGTGTGGAATCACCTGCCTCCCATTACACACATGAGACCCAGGGCCCCCAGCCTCTGGGCCAGACAAGGGCCAACCCTGTTCCTATGTCCGAGAGAGGGCACAGAAGGTCCTTCCCGACCCCAGGGCATGAGGGCAGTGGGAGAGGTTGGGAACTGGAAGAAATGTCTGGGTGGGCATCCCTGGCCCTTGGGTGACAGGCTGCCTGCTGCCTGGGGGCTGCTGAGCCTTTGGGGAGGGTCCCAGGTGAGGTCAATGAGCCTCCTGCTCCCTGCCCCTTCCTCCCTGGAGCTCAGTGCTGCCCACCCACCTGACCTGTGAACACCCTGCATTACTGTCTGGGGGGTCCGCTCCAAGCAGATTCCCGCTGCTCTGGGGCCTGGGGCCCAGCCTGTGGGACAGGAAACCCCCAACCCCTGGGACGGCCAAATGCACCAGCCCGACGGGCCTCCTGTGTGTCTGCACAAACCACAGCCAGCTGACATGTGTAAGACATTAAAGCCCCTGGGTCCCTCTCCTTGCCACGGGTACATTGTGAGGCCCCCGGGGGAATTTGTTTTTAAAGAGGTGGCTTTTTATGTGAGAGGAAAGCTGGCTGGAGAACTCAGGGGAGGGACCAACTTGGAGAAACAAACACAATCCCCCAGCCCACAGGATCCGGAGCCGACGCCAGAGGCGCCGAGAGAGCACCCCAGCCTGTCCACGGTGAGTCCTGGGGAGACCGGGAACTGGGTCTGGGGCCAGGGCTCTAAGGCCCTAGGAGGCCTGTCTCCTTCCACCCCTGTTCGGCATCCAGATGAGGCTGAGTTCATTAGTAGGTGCCTGCTGTATGCCCAGGGAACCTCGGAGTTTGACCTGGGGAGACGGAGGCAAGTTCAGTCATACCAAACAGATGAGTGTGTGAGGGAGAGGAGGAGGAAGGGTCCAGTGAGTGCATTGTGGAGGGGGAGGGGGAGGGGGTCCCAGTGAGTACATTGTGAGTGGGGTGAGCAAAGCCCAGCTGGCTGGGTTTTGGGATTCTTGGGGAATAGTTGGATACCAGCAGAGGAATAAAAAGGTCACTTCTTGGGGCACTGGGGTGGAGCAGTTGGTTAAACATCTGACTCTTGGGGCGCTTGGGTGGCTCAGCAGTTGAGCATCTGTCTTCGGCTCAGGGCATGATCCCGGGGTCCTGGAATCAAGTCCCGCATCAGGCTTCCCACAAGGATCTGCTTCTCCCTCTGCCTGTGTCTCTGCCTCTCTCTCTCTCTCTGTGTGTGTGTGTCTCTTATGAATAAATAAATAAAATCTTAAAGAAAAAAAAAAGCACCTGACTCTTGATTTTGGCTCAGGTTGAAATCTCAGGGTCCTGGGTTCGAGTCCCACTTCATAGGTCATAGGGCTCCGTGTTCAGAGGGGAATACACTTGATGATTCTCTCTCTTCTTCTCCCTCTACCCTTCCTCCTGCTCTCTCTCTCTCTTTCTCTCTCTCTGTCTCAAATAAAAAAGGTTCACTTCTGGAGTTGGGGAAGTGGTGAGACAAAGCGACAAGGCTGGAGCCCTCCCTTCCCAGCTGAGGCTAAGGGGCCAGCTCCTCATAGGAGCATCTTGGGGAAGTCCCTGAGGGAGGCCCACTGCCATATGGACAGTAGGTCATGAGGCTCAGAGCAGTGGAGGTGGCCAGCAGGGTTCTGTGGTCTCCCCTGGGGAGTAGGGGACAATGCAGGGTCAGGAAGGCTATGGAGAAGCCACCAGCCTGAACACAACTCCCAAAGGTTGGATGGACAAAGATGTTATCTGTGTAGACACTGGGAAGCGAGGCTTTCTGGGGGATAGAGGTCAGTGTGGTGGCCTCCTGGCTGGGCCTGGAAGGTTGAGGGGCTTGAGGACACTCCAGGGCCAGTGTAGCCTGGGAGAAAGGCTGGAGCTGCCCTTGCACCCTGAGTTCTCCCAGGAACACATCACCTGGCCCTGCTCCATTGTCTCTCCAGGCCCACTTGAGGCCATTGCATGCCAGGCTCCATCAGTGGTCACTGGAGCTAAGGGCTGTGCTGCAGGTGCTTGGGCGGGCTATGCGTGCATGTGACAGGGCATATGTGCATGTGGTGTGTGATCACATGGATGTGCCTACGGCTGAGTGTGTGTGGGCTTGCGAACGGTGTCTCTGTGTTTGCACACATCTAGACAGCCGAGTGTGTGTTTGCTTATCACATGTGGAAACGTATGCATGCGTGTGTCCATCAGTATGTACACATGTCTGCATGCTTGGGTTTGGGGTGTGTCCAGGCATTCTTGTCTGTGATGTTTGTGTCACGTGTGCAACTGTGTGGGTCGTGGGCCGGTGTGTCTGCATGTGTCCACTTATGGAGATGCAAGGATGTCTAGATGTGGATGTGGATGGGGTGTGCACATGCTTGTTACAGGGGCAGGGCATGTTTGCATGCATGTGACGTGTACGTGTCACTGTGCAGGTATATATGGGATGTGTCGCTCTGCTTTCACAGTGTGCGTGTGTGGGATGTGAACACACGCTCATGTGGGAGGTGTGTGGTGGGCTGTGTTGGCATGTTTCTATGTGTGTGTATATCTCCGTATGTGCTTACTCGTGTACCACAGTGCATGTGTCCTTGAGGGATGTTGGGTCGTGGGTCTTGGGACCTCCATGCTGCCGTGAGCTTTCTCCATCATCGGCTGGTTGGAGGCACGAGGGCAGGAGAAACTGGTGGGAGGGGCTTCCTTGGGTCCCCTGCCATGATGCAGTTCTGGTGAGCTCCAGCTGGTACTTCATTCCCTGGTGCTGCTACGACAGGGCCTAGAGACTCTCGCCCCCCAAGGTAGCACCCTAGCTGCCTGTGCAGGGGGTTTGCAAGGAGGCTTTGCCCACCAGCTGGGCCATGACCTCTCCCAGGACAGGAAAGCTGTCAGTTTCCGTGTGCGACCCCCCTGTGGCTCAGGCTGAGATGTTCTGTTCCCACGTATTCCTTTTCACTGTGTTCCTTCTGTTTCTGATGCTGACTTCTCAACTAATAACACTCTTCCCTTTATTTAAATAAAAAGAGCTACAATTTAAAGCAAACTACTGAGTGGCTCCCCTGAAAGCAGGGCTTGAGACAAGGATTGGGTGGAGGCCACGTCCATGGGAAATGGCCAGGGGGTCAGGAGGAGAGAAGTGTATGAGAGGGGCCTGGCCAGGGTGGTCTCAGGATATCCTCCCAGGAACCGCTGGCAAGAGCACTGTCCCTGGCTTCCATCCCACGGGTTGAGGACCACCCACAGCCATTATCCAACATCATGTGAGTAAGACTGAGATGAGAGGTGGGCATGAGAGCTTTCTCTTCCCTGAAAGGAAGCAACCCTAGGGCACAGATAGAGTGGCACTCGTGAAGGGCTTCCCAGAGGTCCTATGAGGTTAGGATTCTTCATCCCCATTTCACTGACAAGAAAACAGAAGTCACTGGTCACAGGAAATGGCCAGTGTGTCAGTCCTCTATGCTGTGTAACAAATGATCCCAGGACGTAGCAGCTAGTGCACATGAGCCTGTTGGCACTCTTTTTTCCTGTGGGCTGAGATTTCATCAGTGGCCGGGGGTGGGAGGCAGCCAGTCTCTGACCTCCAGGGTCTGGGTCTCAGCTGGGATCACCTGAAGGCCTGTATCCAGGTGTTGGCAGGTTTCCAGGGGCGAGCTGCAGGACATAGAGCACAGAAGTCATGCCTGCCACCACCTACCAGCTGGGAGAGTGAGGCAGGGAAGTCCCAGCAGAGGGGTCAGGGTTCACTGTGAGGACAGCCTATGGGCTGGGAGGTGTTGGTGCAGCTGTCTCTGAGAGATGCAATCTGCCACAGCCAGCGGTTTGAACACTGGACTGATTCTGAAGTGTGTGCTCTTCACGAAGCACTATTTCCACCTCCTTACCTGTCTCCTCATAGTGAGTCCTTAAAAATGAGGGGTCTGGACCAGGCAGGCCCCTGGCTTTCCCTGAAGCACTACGACATGAGGATGTAAAGATGGGTACTGGGTGTAGCCACCACAGCAAGTGGAGGGACTTGGAATGAAAAGAAAATGCTATGAGAAACCTTCATAAGTGCCACACCTGCATCCCCCAGAGATAATGGAAGAGAAGACAAGCATCCCTGTTCTCATGCATTGGGTAAGAAGAAGAGAATCCAAAAGAACTCACAACATCAGACAGTGGAGAGCATCCATCAGCAGGCAGATTTCTATTCATTTCTGGGAATGAAAAATAGGATGGAAGAGCCCACCTAGGAAGCCGAGTGAGGAAGATCCATTGGGAATATTTACAGAGAGGGCTACAGGGGACGGACGGGCAGCCCACCCAGCAGACACCCAAAAGGAACTCCACTCTCATGCTGCAGGGGCAGAGTGAGAAAGATGGCCCCAATCAGCATTGGCTGACTACCCAACTCCCGCTCACCTAAACGCAGGATCCTGGAGCCAGGAGGGGCTTCTCTAAATGTTTGCTTATTTGTTCATTTGTTTGGAAATCAGGGAGGAGTTCTGGCATTGAGGGGTCCCCATCATCATGCTGGCCTCCCTCTGGCTCATTTTACACCAAACCTGAGTGAAGAGCCTGCCTGTTTATACAGCACACCCAGCTTTGGTGTCACTGCCTTCTTAAATGTGAAGTGAAAGAGATGGCCAGCTGGTTGAGGAAAGCATGGAAAGGTCCAGATAAACTATGGGGGGGAAATGAGTCAGAGGAAACAGATTATCTTCAGGTAAACAGAAGAAAACAGAACCTCTGCTATCAGGCATTGTTTCCATAACAAAAACAGGGTGCTGAGGGGAAGACATCAACAACAAAAACCCAGGGGACCACTCTTGGGAGATTAAATATGTAATTCCTGAAAGAAAACATTAAAAGTGCTCAAAGTCAAAACTGAGGCAATCTCTTAGCACAGAGAGTAAAAGCACAAGAGAATCTACAAGAGGAGACATAAAGGATGGACGCAGGAGGTCCAGCATTCCTGCGGAGAGCAGTGCCAGAAAGAGGAGAGTGAGCAGTGGTGGGGAAGGAGTGCTAGCGCGCGCCCCTCTACCACACACACACTCCTCACCAGTAGACCCCGATGCTGAGCTAGTGGGATGGAAAACAGCCTCAGAGTAAGACACCCCATGGAGAAACTGCAGAAGGCCCAGGATGAGGAGGTGACTCGGGCCCATTGTGGACAGAAAACACATCCCCTCCCCACAAAGACCCAGGGCTCAGACCTGCACAGGATACCCCATCAACAGCTCGGCACAGGCGGACCACAGCCCTCAAGTTCTGAGGGAAGGTGGTTTACCACCCATTGGTACATGTGCAGCAAAACTACTGGCTACTCTTTCCTTTTTAAAAAGGTTTTATTTATTTGAGAGAGAAAGGGAGGGAGCACAAGCAGAAGAAGAAGCAGACTCCCCACGGAGCAGGGAGCCCGATGCTAGACTTGATCCCAGAACCCCGGGATCATGACTTGAGCCAAAGGCAGACATTTCACCAATAGGAGCCACCCAGGTGCCCCTAGAATTTTTTTTTTAAAGCTTTTCTTCTTTTCTTTCTTTTTAGATTTTATTTATTTATTTATTTATTTATTTATTTATTTATTTATTTATTTATTTATGAGAGACACACACTGGGAGAAAGAGACAGAGACACAGGCAGAGGGAGAAGCAGGCTCCATGCAGGGAGCCTGATGTGGGACCCAATACCGGGTCTCCATCTCCAGGATTACACCCTGGGCTGCAGGCGGCACTAAACCGCTGCGCCACCAGGCTGCCCAGAATTTATTTTTTTTTAAGATTTTATTTATTTATTCATGAGAGACACAGAGAGAGGCAGAGACACAGGCAGAGGGAGAAGGAGGCTCCATGCAGAGAGGGAGCCCAATGTGGGACTCGATGCCAGGACCCGGGATCACACCCTGAGCCGAAAGCAGACACTCAACCGCTGAGCCACCCAGGCGTCCCTAGAATTAAATTTCTTTAAAAATAATTGAAGCCAATGAATTCTGAATTTGAAAATGGAGAGAAGGTCAAAATCAAGGGTGAGGCAGGGTTCAAAGGACAAGCATAGAGTCACATGGGGAGGATAAAGGGATAGAGAATTTGACCCAGAGAGACCATGTACGGACAATGAAATCTGACCTGCGGGTGTCACGGTACTGGAAGGCAGACAAGAAAGGGTTGGACCCATTATCCGTGTGAGTTCACAAGGATGCCACCGTTCTTGGAGAATGGTAGGAGAAAGCACTGTAGACAAGTGAGAAATAGAATAAATACCTATCTAGAGAGGAGAAAATAAGGAACTTGCTATTATGAGAGGAATTGAAATAACCTGAAAATTTTGGCAAACGCAAGAAACAGGGAAGGAGCCCGAGGTAGGACAAGAAACAGTGGACCCAGCACCACTGCCATTGTACTGGCTTGAACGATCATATTTAAAGACAAACATGTTGGGCAGCCCGGGTGGCTCAGCGGTTTAGCTCTGCCTTCAGCCCAGGGCGTGATCCTGGAGACCAGGGATCGAGTCCTGCGTCAGGCTCCCTGCATGGAGCCTGCTTCTCCCTCTGCCGGTGTCTCTGCCTCTCTCTTTCTGTGTCTCTCATGAATTAATAAATAAATAAATATTTAAAAACATAAAAATAAATAAAGAGAAACATGCTCAGATGAGGCTAATAAAACACAATTATGCACTTTTAAGATCCAACTCTAGGGGCACCTGGGTGGCTCAGTGGTTGAGCATCTGCCTTTGGCTCAGGTCATGATCCCGGGGTCCTGGGATCGAGTTCTACATTGGGCTCCTCGCATGGAGCCTTCTTCTCCCTCTGCCTAGGTCTCTGCCTCTCTGTGTCTTTCATGAATAAATAAATAAAATCTTTTTTTTTTTAAAGATCCAACTCTGAAGCAAGAAGGAGAAGAAAATAAAGTTAGAAATAAATAGGAAAATAGGGGGTAGGCACATGTTCATAAAAGCAGAGAACGGATTCCAGGAGAGGTTCCCAGAGAAGGGGAGTGGGCAGTGGAAAAGGCAGGTGCGCCGGCACGAGAGCCCGAAATGCCCACGAAGCAGCATTCAGGTGTCGGGGAGACGGGTCACGGGGGTCGGAGGCAGGTGGCCGTAGAAGCTGTGTGCGTGTCTCCCGCGCAGGGACGTGTGGTTCCAACAGGTCATGCTTCGTCACAGCCCCCAGCCCCCGTGGTCTGCTGAGAGGGCTGGGTGGAGAAGGGCTGCCAACGCTGCACAGGGGCCTTCCTGCTGTCACTTCTACGGGGACAAATGGGCAAAAGTCCAGGCACGGACACACCACTAATGGTGGCAGAGCCAGGGCTGGGACACGACCTCCCTTCTCGGGTCTGTCCTCGGGGGGGCTGGGGACCCAGCGAGGGCTCTGCAGGGCTGGTCTGCTTGAGGGTCCAGTGCTGTCCAGAAGCTGGGGCGTCAGGAACCCAGGAGGGCCGGCACTGAGAGGGCCCTGAGGACGCAGAGCAGCTGGGGTCTCCCTAACTCACCCACACCCCTCACTAGCCTTCCTGGCCTGGTTCCCTCCCAGTCCTGGGGCTGCCGCCTAGAACCCTGGATGCTGGCCCAGCCTGGGACCAGGATCCTCTGGTTCTGGCAGTGACCACGCACCAGGGGCCCTGAGTGGGCAGCAGGGCTGCAAAACGCTGATGCTCCAGATTTCTGGCCTAAACCCCCAGGTCCAGCCTGCTCTGCAGCCGGGGTCGGGGTGGCCGGGACGCTGAGGGCTGCAGGCCAGGAGCACTGGGTGGGGTGTGGTGGGAGCATCCAGGGCCACATGCCATCTTCCATGCTCACCTGAAGCTATTTTTACAGGCAAATAAAGGGGTGTGGTGATAGTAACAACACGAGCACTGGTTGACCACTTACCCTGAGTGGCCTCTCCCAAGCCACCCTTTCACCGGGGCTCTGGGTAGTCTCTTGGCATCAGTGGCCTCCTATCTGGCCCAACAGCTGCACCCAGCCCACAGGGTCCAGGGCCTTCCATCTGCACCCCCCGCTCCCTTCTCAGGGAAGTGTTGGTTACTGATTGAACACTGGGAGCCTTGAATGGGACGGCTCCTGGCAACAATCAGCCAGACTGAAGACCTCTGCTCTCTCTTCCAGCACACACAGCAGCTCCTTACGGCCTCCGCTGGACCCCGCAGTGCACAGGCCAGCCTGGTGGATTGTGTCATGTGGATCAGCTGGTGGCTCTGGCCCCTGGTGGCCATCTGTGCTGGAGACCAGTTCCGGGATGAGGCTGAGAGGATCATGCGGGGCACACCTGTCATCGACGGGTGAGTGGCCACATGTCCTGGGACTGGGGATCTGGGGCTGCAGGGGCAGGAGCTCATGTGCCCTTGACTTGACAGACCTATCTCTGCTGGGACTCAGTTTCCTTGTGGGGTCTGTTAGGGCTTTCCAAAGCTTCAGCAGGAGTGGAGCAGTTGCAAAGCCCCTGTGGCTCTCAGCAGCACCTGGGGTGTCCTAGAACCTAACCCTCCCTGTGCCCATAGGTGCCAGATCCCAGCCTGGAGTGGGTGCTGGGGGTAGAAGATGGTGGCACCTGGCCCTGGGCATGCCTCCAACTAGCCACAAAATCTAAGGGGCCATACTTCCTTACTGGGCCTTTGCTGCTTCACCTGAAGCTGTGGGTAAGGGTGGTGTCTGCCACCAGCCCCCGGGAGGCCTTTCCTGGCCCTTGTGACCCTCCTCTGAGACGTATCCACCTGGGGGTGACTCACCAGGCAAGGGGCCCCTGGGTCACCTCTGTGCTGTCTGCCTAGCATGACCTCACTGGTGTGCTCCCTGACGCACCCACTCCTGCAGACCCCTTCCCATCTTGTTGTGCCTGTGGTGTCACAGCTGCCCCAGCAGAGCTTGTGTCCTGCATCTGCACCCACCCTCTCTCCCTGCCCCCACTTCACCTCCACCTCCACCGGGTCACCAGTGAGCCTCTGTCCTGGTTTCTGCCAGCCAAGGTCCAGGCTCAGAGCTGCAGCCAGGGGAGTGTGGGAGATATAAGTTCCAGCTCCGGTCCTTCTGGCTCAAACCCTCCACCCGCCGTGTCTCCCACTGAGCTCAGAGTAGAGCCCAAGTCTGCTTTCAGCCCCCAAGACCCCCTCTGCCGCCCCTGGCCATCCTCACACCCCCAGATGCTCCAGGCGGGTCCCACTGTCCCCGCTTGTCCTCACAGCCATGCTCCCACTCTCTTCTCCTCCTGAGCTTTGCTCAGGCCACCTTTCCTGACCCCTGTGTGAAATGCCACCTGTGCACACACCACAGCCACTCCTGCTTCCCTTCTGCCGCGGTTCCCCTGCCGACCAGCAGACAGCAGGAACTGGACCCCTGTGTGTGCCGCCCAAGAGTGGCCTGTGGCATGCACTAGCACACCCTGGGTGCAGCACCGTTAGGAGGGCACCCGTGTGTGTCTCTGTCTGCTCCCAGCAACTGTTCGGTAAATGCTCCAGTTATTACTATTTGGCAGGTGTTCTGGGCTTTGTTGGACAAAAAACTAAGAAAATGGGCTATGTCGTTCTATGGGAAGCCCAGGGAGCTGCGGTGGCCCAAGAGAAAGGAGGTCGTGCACCCCTCCCTCCCTGTAGCTCCTCCTTCGCCCCAGGGTCCCCTCATACATGCTCCGAGGAGGGTGAGGCCAAGTCTCCTCAGAGGCTGCTACCTGGGTACCCCTCCTGCCCCCCGGGACGGAGCCACCGCTGTCTGGTCAGTGGCCAGCGAATGCGCAGATGCCAAAGGTGTGAGTCCAGGAAGCTGCTCTGCTCCCTGATTCTCAGGGTCAAGGGGTGGCTGGGCACAGAGTGGGGTTCCTGAGGCCCACATGACAGGTGAGTTGGATCCAAGGGCCCAGACAGCCAGGAATGCTCAGGGAAATGGAGTCTGGGGACCTGAGATAGTCCAGAGAGCTACAAAGTGAAGATGAGGCTGACAGGACCAAACCCAACGCTTGGGTATCAGCTACCTGCATTACTCTTGGGGCAAGAGACCCAAGTCGAGAGCCATCCAGAGGGAGGCCCTGCGTGGTGTTTCATAAGGTCACGGGCTGCTATAAGCGGCCGTCTCCATCGGCATGCCAGCCAGCAGGAGTGAGCAGGGGACACGGAGGACACGGACCGAGCTACAGCTGTCTGTGAAGAGCTTTCGGAAGCTCCCAAACGGCAGAACTTGTCACATGGCCATACCCGCCATACAGGGGCAAGAAAGTATCTCTATTTCAAATGGCCAAAAATAGGGGTTTCTGTTACTAAGAAAAAGGTGGAGATAAGAAGCCACCAGTAATCTCTCCGACAATAGCTAGCTGTCATTCAAGGGCTGGGACTTGTCACCTGTCCCCTTGGAATGGGACAGGGTCCTCCTGTCACCACTGAGGACGCTGCCCTGGCCTCACAGATAAGGAGGGTGGATCCAGCAGGGTCTAGAACAAGCAGTGTTGACAGCAGGCCGAAGGTGGCCTCTGTTTCCTGCTGTGGGTTCCAGTGAAAGTGCCCCTCCCTCCTGGCGGTTTCCAGGCAGACAGCTAGAGGGTGTGGCAACCTTGGAGGCAGGGACAGGGGTGGGGTGGGGAGGGCAAAGTCCTGTGCAAGGCCCTGCCCCGCCCTGCCCCCAGGGCAGCACCCAGAGGCCCTGGTACTCTGAAGTTTACCTACCCATCCACCACTCCACCAGGAAAGGCGTCCTGACCACCAGCCCACACCCTGTCCCATTAAAACACAGCTATGACAGGAGCCCCCTGAGAGAGCAGGGGGGGCTTCCGGGGTCTGGGCCCAACTTGCTTTGGAAAAGCTCCACCCAGGGGTGGCTGGCCTGAGGTCCTCATCTAAAGTACCAAAGCATCCCCATGTTCCAGGTGGAAAAACTGAGTTGAGAGATGGGAGGAGGGGTTGGAGATGGGAACTAGACGGGGGGTGAGCCTGGGGCTGCTGGTCCTGGAAGGAGCAGTCTCAAAACCAGGAGTGGCCACCCACATAGGGCAGTGCCCCCTGGTATGGGGCTGGGAGGGCTGGCGAAGCGCCAGGACGAAGGCCCCTTGGCACTGTATTAGGGATCCAGCAGGAGCGCCTTCACAGGTGTCCTGAATTCCAGACTTCGCTGATTCCAGCGCAGTTTCCAGCTGGCAGGTCTGAGATGGGCCCGAGACTCTGCATTTCCAACAAGCTCCCTGGCCCATATCTCTTCCGTATATGCAACCGAGGGAGACCAGGCATCCCAGAGGTCTCTCCTCCTTTGGGCAACTCCTGGTTCTTGGGTCCAGCCCTATGGGTTCTGCCTTTGTAGCCCAGACCAGCTGCTGACATTCAGCCCCACTCCTTCCCCCTCCCTCCCCGCCCCAGCCTCCCTCCAAAGCACTAGCTCCTATGGCTCCTGGGAAGGCTCAGATGGGCCTCAGTGCTGTGGAAGCAGAGAAGGCTGTGCTCGGAAACGGGGCGGCGCTGTCACAGAGCCCCTGATGCCCTGCTACATCTGTCCCAGGAGGGTGGGGTGGGGTGGGGGAGCCAGGTCTCCAAAGGCAGGCCACACCCACATCCCCGTCCCCTCCCTGCAAGGGGAGGATTTCATCTTGTGCAAACTCTCAGCGTCCCACACCCAGCTACCCAGTGTCACAGAGACTGTTGGAATTCCTGCCCCTGCTCCTCCCTCTTCCCCAGGAAGGGTCTTCACAGGGAAGACCTCCCAGAGGGTCTCTCAGCTCTGTTCCCTGGCCTGGGTGTGGAGCACCGTGGAGTGGCTAATCTGTGCTTAGGTGTGTTCACACAAGGAGCAGTCTGTCACCCCAGTGGCTGGCTTTTGTTCGGAGGCTTGGAGGCCCCAGGTCCATGGGGCTATCCTGGCTGGCCTCTGAGCCTTTCTCTGGCCTTCCCCAGGCACAACGACCTGCCCTGGCAGCTGCTAACCAGGTTCAACAACAAGCTTCAGGTTGAGGCGGCCAACCTGACGAGTCTCACCCACACACACACCAACATCCCCAAGCTGAAGGCTGGTTTTGTGGGGGGCCAGGTATGGCTCAGCCCAGCCCTACATTTGCCTGTGCTGGGGTCCCTTCACCCCTCCTCTGTGTCTGGGCTATGGCGCAGGCCCTCCCTGGTGGCCGTGGACCTCCTAAGCCCCTTGAAGACACAGGTCTTTGGAAGGGACCTGGAGAGCCACACAGGCCATGGGAGGGCTTCCAAGATGGGAGGGGAGCCCGATGCCCACATGCCTGTGAGGGTGGGACCCAGAGCCTCCCTACTAGCACCTCTCCCCTGTGGCCCCTAGTTCTGGTCCGCATACACACCCTGTGACACCCAGAACAAAGACGCTGTGAAGAGGACACTGGAGCAGATCGATGTCATCCATCGCATGTGCCAGATGTACCCGGAGACCTTTGTGTGTGTCACCAACAGCACAGGTGGGTCCTGGTCCAGCCCCAGCCCTCAACAGAGCAGCTAGCGCTGCCCAGATATGCCTTATGTGGAGGCTCCAGGGACGCTCCGCCGCAGTTGGCTCTCCCCACAGGCATCCGGCAGGCCTTCCAGGAGGGGAAGATAGCCAGTCTTGTTGGTGTGGAGGGGGGCCACTCCATAGACAGCAGCCTGGGCGTCCTGCGGACACTCTACCACCTGGGCATGCGGTACATGACTCTTACCCACAGCTGCAACACACCCTGGTAAGTGCGCACAGGAGGGCCCACAGGCCAAAGGAGGGTCTGCCTCTCTCCGGCACCTTGCTGTCCTTCCGGGAGTCCTAGGTGTGGGAGGACCGGGTTGACTGTTCTGCCCCTGGGATACCTGCTTTCTGCTCTCCCAGGGCTGACAACTGGCTGGTGGACACAGGAGAGGACAAGGGCGAGAGCCAAGGCCTGTCACCCTTTGGCCAGGTGAGGGAGGGCATTCAGCAAAGACCACAGTCACCCTCAGAGAAGTGACCCAGGACACAGGGTCCTGTCTCTCAGGCCCTCAGTTCACTGTCAGCTGGAGCTAGCAGGGGCTGTCTCAGGGTGGGTGTTCCCTGGAACCTGTGGGTCATCTCCTAGCCATTGAAGAGTTCATTAATACCTGGTCCAGCAAGGCCCTTGCCCAAATCCGCTACTCCCCATGCCTGGCCTTGTCACGGGGGGTTTCAGTGAACCCCAGAAGGCTGGCCGCTGAGCCTTGTGTCCATGCAGCGTGTGGTGAAGGAGATGAACCGGCTGGGGGTCATCATTGACTTGGCCCACGTGTCTGTGAGCACCATGAAGGCTGCCCTTAGTCTGTCCAAGGCTCCCGTCCTCTTCAGCCACTCCTCGGCCTACAGCCTGTGTCAGCACCGGCGCAACGTGCCTGATGATGTGCTTCAGCTGGTGGTGAGGGGCTAGGGGACAGGCTGGGGTTGGGGGCCATCTGCCCTGTTCCCTGGACTGGTCCTGAGGTGCGGTGCTTGCTCTTGGCCCACTGCTCCACCCTTCTCCTAAGCAGAACCAGACAGGTAGCCTGGTGATGGTGAATTTCTACAATGACTACGTTTCCTGCAAAAAGGAGGCCACCCTGTCCCAAGTAGCAGGTAGGCAGATGTGAGTGGCCCCAGGAGCTGAGTAGGGGAGGGCTGCTCCCAGGACCCACACCTGTTGCCTTCTTTGGCAGACCATCTGGATCACATCAAGAAGGTGGCAGGAGCTGGAGCTGTGGGCTTTGGTGGGGACTTTGATGGTGTCTCCAGGTAAGGAGCAAGGCCAGTGTCCTGTGGATGAGATGGGTCATGCCTCCCATAAATATGTTATGAGGGTCTGAAGCTGGAAAGTGTGAAACTGTGACCAGGCAAAGTATGTCTCACTCTAGAAGCTACTCCATTGGGACCCCCAAGGCCTTGGGATGGGAGCATGGGCAGCTCAGTGATTTGTGGGAAGGTGGACAGGCTTCTGAGGCCCTGACCCCTAGGATGCAGAGCTTGGTTCTCTCTGCCCTCACCTCAGGCTCCCCTTGGGGCTTGAAGATGTGTCCAAGTACCCAGACCTGGTGGCTGAGCTACTCAGGAGGCAGTGGACAGAAGCGGAGGTCAGGGGTGTCCTGGCCAACAACCTGCTCCGGGTTTTCGAGGCAGTGGAACGGGTGAGGAGGGGCAGCTGTGCTTACCCAGCTTTCTCTGCTGGGAGGGAGGGACGCAGGCAGGCAGGCAGGCAGGCAGGCAGCCCAACCTGTGTTTGTCCCCAGGTGAGTGATCACACACAAACTCCCGAGGAGGAGCCCATCTCCCTGGACAAGCTGCAGGATTCCTGCAGGACCAACTATGGCTACTCAGAGGCCCCCAGCTTCCACCACCCGCCAGGGGTCCTGCTGGCCTCCCTCACCACCGTCCTCCTCGGCCTGTGTCTCCTATGATGCCCTGGGGTCCGGACCTCCTGGGCTCCTACAGCTCTGGGGATACTGTGGCCCTCAGTGCAGAGAGATTCCAGGATGCTGCTCCCCATGCACAAAGCCTGGGCTCTCCTGAGCAGGTACCTGGGCTCACCTGAGGCAGTAGGGCGTGGGCACTTCCAGACTAACACACACTGTACTGTCAATAAAGGCCAACAACCCTTCTGAATCATGAGGATGTGTGTCCCTGGAGGGGGTTTCTGAGCATCCGAGGGCAAATCCTGTGCAAACGGTCCCAGGCTGGACCTCAAGGCACAGGAGTGCCTGCGTCCTGGAAGAGTAGGACCAGAAAGGGCTCAGGCTCTTTGAAAGCGCTCTGTGTGGGCTCAAGTCTTTATAAACTCAGTCTAGGCTCCTGGTGCCCCCTTCCCAGGTACACACACACCTGCAGGAAGGCACACCTTTACATGTGTACACATGCATGTGTACAAAAGCCTATGCTTATGCATACACGTATGCAAACCCCTCCCACATCCTCATGCACACATGTGTTCACACCCCTTCCACATCCTCATGCACACACATGTGCCCACACCCCTCCCCAGATCCTCATGCACACACATGTGTTCACATCTGCCCCCTGGCCCTGCTACCCCCTTTCTAGACCAGAGCCTCTGGGAACACCCCATGTGGACAGGCACAGGCTTTAATAGTGAGGGAGGAGCTCCCCTGCCCAGATGCCCTGGGCCCAAAATGCCCGCAAAGGAACAGCCAGCCCTGCACAGCCCCCACCTGAAACTGGACAGCCTGCCTGGCCCCCCCAGCCCCCGTGAGGGTCCCTGCCTCTCATTCCCAGGCTGATCTGACATGACCAGAAGGGACACTGCTGGGTATTTGCTGATCACTTTGGGTCAATTTAACATTAAAGGAAAAAATAGCAAGTAAAGGTTCCTCCCTGATTTGGCCCCATCAGCCACCAGAAAGCCTTCAGGCAGCCACAGGATTTTCTGGCGGAGACTGCTGGAAGGGGCCCTCTGGTGGGTTGCGGAGGTAGCACACCAAATTTGCTAGGTGGAAGCATTTTTTCAAGGTTTGAAATAACCCTCATCACACCAGAGACAGGCCATAGCCGTGGGTGCCACCCAGAAACCCATCTGGTCCCAGGCAGCTCTCTGCTATCTACTCTCCATTTGTCCTGCTACAGCTTATTTCCATTTCCGCTCAACCTTGTTCCAAGCTCGAGACCTTTCTTGAGTGAGGGAAACCGGGGGGGGGGGGGGGGGGGGGGGGTCCTGGGGTAGGGGTGGGGGGATGGGCCACCCCTCTCCTGGCCGGATGCACACGCAGATGTGTGCAGGTGCAAGGGTCCTGGGTGGTGGGGGTGCCTGCCGTGGAGTCCAGGGAACCCTTTCCCAGCCAGTGGGCAGGTGGAGGCCGAGGGGTCCAAATCTAAGCCTCCATCACATTTCACACATTCAAACACCAAATCAAGGCCCAGCAAGATGGGAGCACCCACAATAGAAGAGCAGCAGATCATTGCACCAGGGGGACACAAAGATGTGGGAAGCAGTGTGGATGAGAATGGGAGGCCAAGGGAGGACCACGCATGGTGTCCTCTGCTCAGCTGGGGGCCAATAGCAGTTCCAAGAGCTTTGTGTAGAGACAAAGGGGCAGGGATTGGGGAGAGGGGGATTGAGGAGAGGCAGGTTCTGCTGCCAGTGAGGAGAGGGGTGGTGAGATTGAGCCTCTTTAGGGTAGACCTGCGTCTGGTCCACACAGAGCAGAAATACCCACAGGTCCGCTCTGACACAGATATAACACAGTAAGTGCAAAGAAGAAACTCTTCCTTCAAACAGAACCACAAATAGGAAATCACCACAAATACTGTTACCTGGAAGATTCACCAAGGAGCACAAGCATCAGTGCCGAGTACAAGAGCCCTGTAGGTGACGCTGGCAGTCTTAAAATTGCTCCCCACAAGATACTCCACAGAGGAGGAAAACACAACGTCACAGGGGAGATGCCTGGCCCACACCACCCCCACCAGGGGAACAACCGGCAACACCATGCACCTAGCTTTGAGCATGGGGATGCTTGCCAATAGCTGACCTCAACGCCCTTGTGTGAAAATGTCACCACAGCCTGAGTGGAAAGGCAGGCTGCCAAATAACTAGCCAGCATGCCTCAAGGCCATCCATGTCAGGGGCCTGGGGGCCTCAAAAGTTCAGCGTCTGACTCTTCATCTCAGCTCTGGTCCTTATCTCAGGGTTGTGGATGGAGCCCCGTGTCAGTCTCTGCGCTGGATGTGGAGCCTGCTTGGGGTTCTCCCTTGCCCTCTCCTCTGCCCCACCTCTCTCTGGCTCACGCACGCTCATTTTCTCTAACCCTTAAGAAAAAAGACCATCCAGGTGACAAAGACAAATGAGAGGGACTGTCCAGGCTGGAAGAATGGAGGCACTGCAAGTAAAGAACATCAGGGTGGTTTCCCGACTTAGCCAGTTACATACGGTTAACTAGAAGTGGATGTGGAGGGTGCTGGTGTACACAAATATATAACTATAGAATGCACACAAGTTGCAACTTTTATGTATGTTTAAAATTATTTCAAGGTAAAAACTTAAAAAGAAAACTTAAAACTTCAGATTCCAACTCTGTGGGGTGGGGCCTGAGAACATGCATACCTCATACCACCCACCCCACCTGCTCCTCTGCCAGGTACCACTCGTCGGCCTCTTGCACAGGGGTGGGAGAGCCATATGGAGGGTCCCACCTACAGCTCCCCACTCTACCCAAGGCCATTAAAGCAAAGCCAGACAAAGTTCTCAGGGATCAATGTGTTTACTCACAATAGCATTTTAGGAAAACGGGCAAACATGCCCACTGCTCTTTGATGAGCCACAGCCATGGAGCTTGGTGCCCAGTGAGCACCAGGGCAGTCGGGGTCTTCTCTGAACCCCCAGCGTGTGGCGCCCTGAGCGACCACAGCCAGGGAGTAAGGCGAGGCCGGCATTGTGGAAGAAAAGCCAGACAGCACTCTGACCCTCCCTCTGGGGTCTCACACCACAGTCTAGAGTGTCAAGGCTGCTCAAACACAACTGACCACACAGGACACCCAGGGACAACCAAGTCCAGAAGAATCAAATGTAGCAAAGTCATGGTAAAGGTCTCCAACATCTCTGTTCACAAGCATCACTGGTGTGAGGACAGACTGGGGAGTGGCAGGAAGCCTCTGAGAAGGGCTGGTCGGGCGGTCAGCTGTGCACGGAGCTGGGCCCGGCTCAGTACCAACCATGAAGTTCTCACCAGCTCACACCAATGAGGGGCCTGGGGCCCAGTGTTCCCCATCTGCTGTCTGCTCCTTCTATTTTGGCAATAAAACAAAAAACCCTGGAAGCTTCAAGAAAACAAAGTAAACTTCAAGAAATGAAAAACGGAAACGGCTCCCAGAAAATCACTGGGAGGAGCTGGCTGCTAGCTGCTCAACTGTGGCTGCCACGGCTACTCCAAAACTGGCCCTGCTGGGGGCACCTCTCTGAGATCTGGTGACCCCCTCTGGCTTCCAGATTAAACGGTGTGAGCCCACGTGGAAGGAGGGGAGACCAGTCGGGGGGAGGCACCCATTATCTACAGTATAGGGAGGATGACACAGACCCAGCACCCCCAGCAGGGGTGTAAGACCCCATGCTCCTTGCTGGGAGGGACCTCAGTGCACACCCTGAGTTCCCAGAGGACACACAGCACATCCTGTGGGGCCCCAGGCCCTTCCAAGGCAGCAGTGGAACGAAGATGGGTCCCTGCGGGTGGGCCTGCCTGGATTGGAGCATGGCACCTGCTGCTGGGGATCCCTAGTAGGGCTCAGCCAGCTGGCCTCCAGGTGCTTCCTGGCCACCGGAAGCAGCGCTGACCCCACTGGCTGGCCACTAGCAGCACATCTGCCATTACACGGACTCTGAAGGCCCCCGTGGCCCACATGGCATCCACTGGTCAGTCCCCGTCAACTTCTCAGAGGGTGGGGGAGAGAGGGGGGCCTGCAGAACCCCAAGCTGGTCAGTCCACAGTCACAGAAATAACCCACAGAAGTCAGAAGTGTGTGCAAACTCACCCACCAGGACACAGAGCCACCATCTACGCTAAGAGGGACAATCCCCAGGCGTGGAGGGAAGGGCCGCACAGCAGGGTGTGCGGAAAGGCAAGAGGCGTGGGGACAGAGATGGAGGCCTCCTCCCCGGCCCTTCCCACACGTCACGGCCAGGGAAGCAGGGCACTGCAGGAGGGCTCGGCTAGTTTCTCAGGGCGGCCAACCTGCAAATCAACGACACAACCCCTATGAGGGCGAGGGCAGAGGTGCCTCAGCACTGCTGTGCACTCCAGCACAAGATCTGGATTGGCATCTTGTGCTGGAGACTACAACCCTGTCCTCTCTATCTCAGCTCTGAGAGGCTGTCCTGACAGGAGAAACCTGGGGAACAGCAGTAGAGTAAAAACTTATTTTCCTACAGTGAACCAATGACAAGTGTCTGAGTGCCATAGCTGACACACGACACAGACACTGGACAAGGAGCAAGGGAGAGAGGCCCTCAGATGGAGCCTGGACTGGGCCTTGGGCAGGCCCTCCTTGGAAGGAATGGCACCCCTGGGCCAGAGCTCCCCACACAAGCTCTCCTCTCGAGGCTGTATGCGCCTCCTTCCCCCACAACCACAGGGTCAGAGCCCAGGGTGAAGAGCCCAACGTCTGGGGCACTGAGCCCACCTCCGAGACAGCTGGTCCTCTTGGCTGCGCACGGAGCTCTCGCCCACGGCAGAGGCGCCCTCAGGCAGCTGGTTGAGCTGGTCCAGGACCTCCAGGCCGTTCTCCTCAGCGATCTGCATGATGAGGCTATCCACCTGTTCCTGCGGCGTGGTCAGTGTGGTGGCCGAGCTCATGGAGTCCTCCATCACCTGGGGGTCATGTTCTGGGCAGGTGGGTGCAGGCTCTGGGACGCCACTGCAGCCGCTGCAGTGGCCCCGTTTCTGGCCACCCACCTCAACCATGCTTTGGGCTCACTCCCTCCACCCGCACCAGACCACCCCACTACTCTCTCTCAGGGCACTTTCTCCAGCGCTCAGGCCCCTGGGCCTCCCTCTTATCTGCTAGACCTCTGTGTGCTGGTCCAGACCCCACAAGCATCAGGCGCTCTGGAGGTGGCCCCCATAGGGAGACCAGTGGGGGAACGTGTGTGGGGCCAGCCACGTAAGCCACCCAAGACCACAGGCCACGTACCGCTGTATGCACATCCAAGTTCTGAACCTGTTGCTCGAACCTGTCCATCACCGCAGAGACCTTCTGCAAGTCCATGGTGCTTAGCGCCCTGTCCAGGGCTTTGGTCACCTGGGCCATGTTCTTGGTCACCTGGCACAGGAGAAAATGAAGAGATGTCCCCCACCGAAGATGGGCCCTCTGCACTCTCCGGGAAATGCTGTCTGCTAAACAACAGACAGGAGACCCATGCCTTGGCCAGTGAAGAAAAATCTGAGGATGCTTTGTCTTGTCCTTTGGTGCCGCCATTATGGTATGGAGGGAATCTCCACTTTCACTACCTCCGACAGGGTCCTGCACGGCTCCCCCTGCCTAGCCAGGCTCCTCCACTCCGCCATGTGACCCTGGGCACGAGCACTCACCCCCTTCATGGTCACGGCCGTCTGCACCTTGGAAGCCACTGCATCCACACGGGATGCCATACGGAGCCAGTTCACGCCTTCATTCTTCTTGCGGATGGCGTTCTCAGCGTACACACGGGCACATTCTACGTTCTTCTGCTGGAGGGCCTGAAATTCAGGAGGAGTGCCAGTTGGGACAACATGGCTGTTTGTCCCACCTCCACCTGGCCCGTTCAGGGGCCTGGTCCTGGCTTTTCCTAGGGTGAGACCTGCTAGCTTCGTGCAAATGCAGAAATGCCAGGCCCCTGGCCTGTTCAGGAGCGAGGGTGTCCGGGCAGGGCACCAGACCAGCCATGCTGGGGGCTGCACAGAGAGCTGGCCATGGGACACCACCTCCTGCCCCCACCCCCCCAGGCCTGGCACTCCCTTCAGTCTCTTCAGCGCCTATACCACACGAGCTCACAAAAACCAGAGCAGCAAAGTGGGTAGGGCCATGAGGACAAAGGAGCCAACTGGACACAGCTCTCTGGTTTTCCTTCTGCCCTGGGGTGAGGGGTTACCAAACCCTAACCCCAAACCCCAGGAGCCAGTCCACCCGTGCAACAGCCAGACCTTCCCACCTGCCTGAGGTATGGGCAGGGTCATTGCAAGGATGGCTGGAAGCCACGTCCCATACAGGTTCAGAACTCTGAAAGTGATTAAACGCTCAGATGTTCAATGAAATAAGGAAAGGCAACGCATGGTCCTTTGGCTCCGGACGCCCTCAGTGGGCAGGGAGGAGCCACCACAGGCCCCAAGCAGCCTCCTGGGAGAACACCCATGGCCAGAGTCGTGGGGCATACCTCACACAAAAGGAAGATACCAGAACAATGCAAAAGAAGCAACAGAAACAAGGAACATGAGAACAGCACACGGCCTGGACATGGTGCAACCTCACCTTCTTCACCTTGGCCTGCTCTGCCTTGGAGTCCTTTTCTGCCTTCTTGGCCAGCTTCTCTAGCTGCTTTGCTGTGAACTGAGCAAAAGCAGGACACTCAGGTTAGATGCACGCGGCCTGCCCTTCAGCACCCTCCCCACCCTCCTCAGCACCCCCTGCCCCATACACAGAAGGTGCCCAGCCCGCCAGCATCCTCATGGCCTAGGGCTGCATGGAGGAGGCTACTGGGTCTCTGAGGCTCAGGGGACAGGAGGGCTGTGAGGGTTTCCTAAAATGTCCTATCCCAGAGCACCGTAATCCAAATTCTCCCATAGAGTGGAAAGTTAAAAAGCCAACTCACACGGGGCACCTGGGCTTAGATGGTTAAGCGTTGGTCTTTGGCTCAGGTTGTGATCTCAAGGTCATGGGATCAAGCCCCTCCCTGGGCTCCCTGGTCAGCAGAGAGTCTGCTTCTCCCTCTGCCCCCTGCTCATGCTCTCTCTCTCTCTCTCTCTCGTGAATAAATAAAATCTTTAAAAGAAAAGCCAACTCGGGACACCTGGGTGGCTCAGAGGTTGAGCATCTGCCTTACACTCAGGGCGTGATCCTGAGGTCCCAGAATCAGGTCCCGCATTGGGCTCCCTGTGGGGAGCCTGCTTCTCCCTCTGCCTATGTCTGCCATGAATAAATAAATAAAATCTAAAAAACAAAACAAAAGAAAAAAAACTAACACAATCACTACTACTTCTGGATCTTTTTTCGTTAAAAGATTTATTTATCCATGAGAGACAGTGATGAGCACAGGAGAGGAACAGAGAGAATCTCAAGCAGACTCTCCACTGAACACAGAGTTGGATGCAAGGCTTGAACTCAGGACCCTGGGATCACAATCTGTGCTGAAATCAAGAGTCAGACACTTAACTGACTGAGCCGCCCAGGTGCCTATACTTACAGATTTTCATCTTTTGGAAAAAAACTCAACAGAATCTGTTTCAGGGTACCCCAAGCGGTAATACGGAATTCCCAATGAACATACACCTCAAAGTGTTCTCTTCACAGAACAGTGTGTCTGTAAGGGGCTGCTGGGCAGTGCATGCTCTCGGGCCTGGTCAGAGTGGCCCTGTAGCTCCCCAAAGAGGACTCATTTGATGACCAGGAAGCCCACAGGAGAGAATGCTCAGACAACCCAAGTGATGGGCTCCCTGCTCTGTTCTGCAGGGAGTCAGCCTTTCCCTCTGCTCAAATAAATGATAATACATTAATTTTAAAAACAGAAAAAAATAACTCATGGGTGTCTCAGTCGGTGAAGCATTTGCTTTCGGCTCAGGTCATGATCCCAGGGTGCCTGGACTGAGTCATGCACTCTAGCATAGAGTCTAGTATCCACCTCCTGCTCAGCAGGGAGTCTGCTTCTCCCTCTGCCCCTCCCCCCTGCTCATGCATGCGCACATGCTCACTCTCTCTCTCTCTCTCTCTTTCTGTCTCTCAAATTACAAAAAAGAAACAAACCCAAGTGAAAGAGAAACCTTCCAGAATCCCACATAGCTTCCCTGCCAAAACCTGCCTGCTTGGAGGATACCCTGCCCTCACCTAGGACTTTCTGTCACACAGAAGGTGCTTCTTGTCTGCCTACCTCACACTCCTACATTCCTTCAGGGAAAAACCCAGATTTTCCTGACCTGGGAATCTGGCCCTGAGCATCTTCCACAAGGTGGAAGCTTGTTGAACAAAGTGCCTGGGGTGTCCTGGTGTTCCCCGCCCTTCCTCTCCACTGCAAACCCAGGGTGATGAGCTACGGTTAGCAGCGTGGGCACATCACTCCTGCCCAGTCTTACAGAACTAACCAGGGACGGTTAACTACGGAGGCATTTGAGGGAAATGTGGCAGACGCTTACCCTGGATTAATTATCAGAGGCATGCTCAGTTGCTCAGAATGCTCTCCTTCAACATGATTTTAACGAACTTAAAAGCACAGATTTAAATGCCTAGTGAAACATCAAGGGATGCAGCGAACACCCAAGCTTTGTTTCCTAAAGACAGCATGCTCCCTCTCTCGTGGATGAGCCCACACGACCCGATTCTGCTTAGCCCAAGACAAGGAAAGGATTAATATGCCATCAAGCCAACTCAATAACCCCCTGTCTGTCATCAGACTGGAAGAGCACTGTGCAGAATCTTCCGATTTATAATCTGTTCCTCTGTGCACGACAGACACCATTTGTCCTCATTTGTTGACCACCAAGGCAGGGTGGGGGTGAAAGGTCATTCATCACATACCTTCAACTGGAACAGGGTATCTGCAAAGAAAAGAGAGGGTTTGAGGATTTCAACTGTGACAGGTGGCATGTCTAACAAAAAGATAGGGCCACAAAGACCCTCCTAGACAGAAAGAGCTGGAACAGGACGCAGGCACAGATGGGGCCTTCAGGGAGGCAGGAGATGAACGAGGGTACCAGTTCTGCTCCCTTGTCAGCCAGACTGGTTTGGGCAAATGTAGAGGCTCCCTAACATCCGACCCTATAGGTAATACCAGGGAGCACTAGCTGACCAAGGGTTAGTGTACAGACATGTGAGGTCATGGACACAGCACATGGCCCACAGTAAAAATCCGAGTGGGTGCTTTGTAATTAAGACAACTTCACAAAGGCCCTTAAGATTCTTTCCTCATTTAATAAAGTTCGGTAGTGGGCAATCTAAATTTTCTATACTCTTTCTCCCCCAAAGTAAATGAGTTTAAGTAGCAAGAAGATGACTCCTCTGATATCAAAGATGTGACCCACAGAGACCAACTTCCATGGCAGCTGGCATGTCTGAGCTTTCAAATCTGGCTTGGGTGCCTTCCTGTCCCTCGTGGAAGATTCAAAGAGACTGGAGAGTATAGATAATTCTCCTGACAGCTACACTTGCTACTCACTCACCGAAACTCAAGAGGCAGGAAGATCCAGATTCACGTTTAAATCTCAATTTATTCACATTTTTAAATGTGAAGAATATCTGAAAGGGTTTCACTAGCCCAGAATGAAGAAACAAAATCCTGTATCCAGAGTCAGGGTGCAGAGCATTCACAAATGCAAATCTAGGTCCCCAGCTGAGAGCCCACTATGGGTTTCAGGGATGGCCTGGTTGTGCCCTGGTGAAGGCCAAAGTCAGCTGTGCAATCTGCAAATCAGACCTAACCTGACACAGGTGGCAGGCAGAGTGCCTCCCACAGGGAAAACAAGGTGTGGCTCCGAGTCTCTAGCTGGCAGTGTGACATAATCACTGTCTCTCCCTGCCTCGGCTTTCTCATCTAGAGTGGCAGAATCTCTGCCACTGAATAGCAGAGAGCTGTTAAGACAAAACCTAACCCTGGAAAAAAGTGAAACCGCCAAAAGAAATTCACCCTCCCTCCCGCCCCCCCAGAGAGCTGAGAAACTGTGGAGCAAAACCCAACATGTGTGGTGGGGGAGTGCAGGCGGAGTGTAGAGATGTGTGTGGAGGGGTGCAGACAGGTGTGGTGAGGGATGTGGCCTTGGGGGGAGTGCAGACATGTGTCTTCATGGGGTGCAAGGATGTGGACAGGTGTGGGGGTGCGGATATGTGCAGTGGGGGCTGTGGGCTTGGAGGGGTATGGACAGGTGTGGGGTGCAGGGGGTGTGGACAGGTGAGCTGGGGGGTGCAGGGGTGAGGATAGGTGTGCTGGGGGTGTGGACATGTGCAGTGCGGGATGCAGGGGGTGCAGACGTGGGAGGGAGTACTTCATCTTGTCTGAGGCAAGGGATACAGGGTGTCTTTCCGGACAACGACGTGGTTGTACAGCTCTCTACTTTTCCCAAAGGGATCTTCAGAACCTGTGCACCCCAGCAGTCCCCGATCATCCTAGCAAAGGTAGGTACCCGACCGTATGACGCCCCCTTCTGTTCCTGGTGTCCAGAGCGGGGCACAGGAGGTGCAGCAGGCGGTGGCGCCAACGCTGGGAGCCAGACCTCCAGCTGCGTCCCCGTGTGCAGGAGGGGACATCAAGCTCCAACCGCTAAGAGCTGCTGTCAGGGAGGCCTGGCACACGGCAGGTGCTTTCTGCCTGGGCTCTTCTTACTGTCGTGTAGTGGTATCCTGGGGACGGGGATGCCCTCTGACCTGACCCCCAGGGCCCCAAAGGCCGATGTCTGTCGTCGGTCCAGGAGCTGGGGGTGGGGCGGGGGCTGGACGCTGAGGAGCTTGGGGAAGGGGGTGAGGGTCCGGCATGGAGGGTGAGGATCGGGGTCCGGGGTCTCTGACCGAGGTCCGCGGGGCCCGCCCTCCCCCGACGGGCGGGGTCTCCTACCGTCCATGGCCGGTCCGGCAGCAGCAGGCCCCCCCGAAACGGACTAACAGACTCCCCGCGGCAGCCGAGTTGATCGCCCCGACCAGTTCCGCCCCGCGGGAACTTCCGGGGTCGTCCCCACTTCCGGCGCGCGCGGCTCTCGCGAGAGCACGTCGCTGGTCCCGCGGGCGGGAGGCGTTGCGGTGACGACCCGCGCCGCCCGGCTGCGGGAGCCTCTGTGAGTCACTCGGGCTGCGCGCCCGCGGAGGGGCGAAGGGCTGGAGGGCCGGAGGGTCGGAGGGCCGGGGGGCCGGGGGGCCAGGGGCCAGGTTTGCCGGCTGGGGCAGTGGGCTCACTTATGGGACTTTCCAAAAGCAAACACAAATCTAGGAAAGGTAACGGAGCGCCGGCGCCTCCCCGCGTACTCGCCCCTGGAGACGCCCGCGCAGCCTCGGGGAGCCGGCAGGGCTGACTCCTCGTCCGTGTGTTTCAGGGGAGAAGGGGCGCGGGCACTCCGTGGCGAAGGCTAGGGAGAGGTCGATGGACAGGCAATCTCAGGAACTCGAGAAACCTCCGGACAGCAGGCCTGCAGACAGCTTCCCAGGGAAGAGAGGGGCACCCAAGCGGCTGCGACCTTCCTCGTCCGAAGTGGAAGGTAGGCCGTGCGCGGCGGGGATAGGAGTGCCGGGGGTCGGGCTTGGCCCCGTGCACTGCTATGGGCACGGCTGCTCCCTCCACGGCCCTCTCGCCGAAGCAGAAGCTCGGAAGGCCACTCGAGTCTGGAGCAGGCGTGTAAGAAGGGCTAGGAGCACCGTGCTGGGGCGCAGGGACCCTAGGGCTTCCACTCGGCGGACAGCCCCCTGGCCGGACGCTCGCGGATGGGGAGGAGGGTGAGGCCACAGAAGCAGCGGAGTAGGAAGCCTTTCGTCTGTTTGGCACCTGCCTTGTGGAAATGGAACTGTTAAGTAATAGCAACAAGGGAGGTGTGATGGGGTTGGTGCCTTGGAAACGTTCTCCAGTAGAGGGGACCTGTGGTAGGCCTAATGCTGCCACCGAGGAGGAACTAATGAGGCCCTGGCAGCAGGAATCCCAAAAAGATCCAGGAGGTGGAACCAGCAGACCCTGACCGTGACAAGAATGGTCAGGAGCAATGTGGGCCTGGCGAGGAGAGAGGCAGGCTCAGAGTGAGGCACCTGTGAGCCCTCAAGGGCAGACACCCTTTCAAACGAGGCTCTTGGGCTTGGGAGCAAGGCCTGGACTTCAGATCCTGATGTGTCAGCCCTTAAGAGTGGAAGGCTGCAGGAAGGGCCAGAGTCCTGGGGAGGAGATGTGGAGAATGCTAATGCTACCAGTCTGTTGGGAGCTTCTGGCTGCAAGCCACAAAACAGCTAACAAGATATGGTTTCCCTGCTGATGGGTTGTCGCGGCCGGCGCGAGAAGGTCCGGATTCAGGAACCGAGGGCAAGGGGATGAGAAATAAACAAGAAACTAAAAGTTCATGGGATAGGAGGTTCCATGCAGCTGATGGCCACAATGGACAAGCTTTATTTTTGCATGTAGAGTTTATATAGCCTCCGTAAGCAGGCGGCCTATTTCTTTAAGGAGAAGTACATCTCGCGCACAAACATACATTGTTTTTAAAAACTACACACCTGTTACTTGTTTTAAGCAATAGAGCATGAATGCCACATTTAGACTAAACAGTGAGGTTTGTTATTAAGTAATGTCTGCCAAGGCGGTCATGTGTCAGGCCACCTCCTTGCTTACTTTATGGGAACTTGTCTCGATAACATTTTAAAGGAGAAGCAAATATGTACTTTTACTTCCATAAGGGGGAAGAGCTAGGTGCAGTCCCAGCGGGTTGGCCAGGTATGACAAGGAGCCTTTGCTCAACCCGGAACCCTGCCTCGCACCGCAGGACTGCGGGTTGGCCAGGGACAACAGGAGCTTTGGCTCAACTTGGAACCTTGCCTCGCACCACAGGACTGTGGGTTGGCTAGGGACAACAAGGAGCTTTGGCTCAACTTGGAACCTTGCCTCGCACCGCGGGACCGCTCCCAACAATGGGTTCAAGGTCTCCCAAATAAAGGATCAGAGAGGGGCACTCAGGGTGGCTTGCTCAGCAAGGACTGTTTGGGTCTACGCTTTGCCACCCTCAGTATCCACAGTCCCCAGAGAGCTCTAGGTGTCCCATGCAGACATGAGATGCTGCTGTTCTTGCAAGGAAAACCTTCCCCTGCTAGGCCTCACTTGTCCAGCATTGCTAGGATGGACTCAGATGTGAAAATTCTGGTGCTGGACCTCTACCAGAAGGTGTGGGCAGGGAGGGTGCCTGCTGGAGAGGCACAGCATCTGTCACACCCTCATTCCAGAGGGTAGAGACAAGTTGGACTAGAGAAGAAAAGTCAGAGAGCAAGAGAGAGGATGGACTTCCAAGAAAGAAGGTGAAGGGTGTGGTTCTTTCATAGAAGGGACATCCCAGCAATAACAAAGAGCAAGCTACTGACATGCTGCATCATGAAGACGCCCCCAAATCAAGATACTCCAGTGAGAGAAGGCAGACATAAAGACCACAGCTATTAGTATTCCATTTATATGAAATGTCCAGAAAAGGCAAATTGATATAAAGGGAAGCCTAGACTAAAGGGAACAGGGATTAGCCACAAATGGGCAGAAGAGGTCTTCTGAAGGTGACAGAAATGTTCTTAAAACTGGATCAATGGGTGCCCAACTCTGAAAGTTTACTAAAAATCATTGAATGCTATGCTTTAAACCAATGGTACATAAATTATAATGTAACAAAGCTGTTTAAAAAGGTAATAAACAATCTTTTAAAAAAAAGATAAAATAGTCAACAGTGTTGTTTTTTTGTTTTTTTTTTTAAGATTTATTTATTCATGAGAAACAGAGAGAGAGAGAGAGAGACAGGCAGAGGGAGAAGCAGAAGCAGGCTCCATGCAAGGAGCCCGACCTAGGACTCAATCCCGGGCCTCCAGGATCACACCCTGAGCTGCAGGCGGCGCTAAACCACTGCGCCATCAGGGCTGCCCCAGTCAACAGTGTTAAATGTTGCAAAGAGATTGAGTAAACCCAATCTCTTTGCAACAATGGAGGTTGAGGACTCCACTGAATAAGGCAAGCCACTGGTCTTGGTGGCCTTGCAGAGAGCACAATCCAGCAATCAGAAGTGAAGACATACACATGGTCTGCCAAGTAGAACATCTAAATTGGGCAAAAGCATCCCCTCTCACATTTGGGTTTTAAAGCTAAAGAATTTCCCTATTAGATTTGGAAGAGGTAGAGTTTTTGGAAGTTAAAGTTTCCTTCAATTAACCTAATACCATAAAAGTCTTAGAGAAATGGAGAGTCCTGATGAGTCAAACATTCCGTGCATTACATAATTAATAAAGGTAGGTCTTACTACTGTGGGATAGAAATCAGAAAGTTCTTGCTGAGGCTGGGGAGGGGGAGGCTAGCTGACTGGAGGATTCCATAAGGTGATAGAAAGTTCTGCTGCTTGTTTGGGTAATTAAAAAGGTTCATACAATTGTGAACTCATCGAGCTGAACATTTTAAGAATTGTGCATTTTATCTTGTGTGAATTGTGCATCAAAAAGCATGGAATATACACAAGCCCTTGTCTCTTAGAACTGCACCCAAAATATTAAAGTACAAATCAATGGGATTAATGGAGGTGGTATCTGAGATTTGCTGTAAAGTGAACACGTATAGTGTGGATGAGGATATTTTCCAAAGACAGCCACAGCTCCTATCCCTCCTGTTCTACCGTGTGGCCTTGATGCTCCTCCCAGCTGGAGTCTCTACCCTCTCTCCTTAAATGGCTGCAAGTTTGACATTTTCTTGTAACCAATAGAATGTGGTGAAAGTGGTTTGAGGCAGGGCCATGGAAGGCGATGCCGTCCTGCCTTGCACACTGGAACACAGGTTGGTGCTTGGAACCCTGAGTGGCATGCCACATCACGTCACGCTGTGAAGAAGCTCAGCCACCTGGGGAGGCCATGTGGAGGTGCTGCAGTCAGCAGTCCTGGTCTCTAAGCTCTTCCAGCCCGTGTCAGACTTGTGAGTGAACAAACCTTTAGGTGATTCTAGCCCCAGGCCTTTGAGTCTTCCCAGCTGAGCCACAAGACATCATGTAGCAGCAGCATTAGTGACAAGCCCTATGAGTGGCAGTCTCGCATGTCCAGCCTGGTTGAGCCTTCAGAGGACTGCAGCTCCAGACAACATCCAACTGTAGCCACCTAGGGACCATAAGTGATAGCTGCCTGGTTAAGCCTATTCTGAATTCCTGACCCTTAAAATTGTGAGAAAATAAAAGCGTGGTTTTAAGCTCCTAGAGTTTGGGGTAAGTTGTTATACAGCAATAGTAACCAGAACAGAGGGTAAGTGCTAGGGCACAGATAAAATTTGATTATGGGTGTTAACTGTGGCCGCTGTGTGATGGGGTATATCATCTTGTCTCGATACTTATGTATAACTTAAATTTTTCATTACAAAATCCACATACACATTATAGAGATTAATACACCACAAATTTGCAATAAGCCAGTTCCAAAATGCTGGAAATCCTATTGAGAAAAATACTCCAACTTTTCTACAAATAAATGACAGGAGGGCACCTGGGTGGCTTAGTTAAGTGTCTGACTCTTGATTTAGGCTCAGGTCATGATCTCAGGGTTGAGATCAAACTCAGCATCAACAACAGACATTTATTTGTCATAATCCTAGAGGCTGAGGAGTCCTACAACCTGGGTGCCATGATTTGGTTCCTGTGAGGACCCATTCTTGGCTTGCAAAAAGCCATCTAATTGCTGTTTTCACATGGCTGAAGAAAGAGGGTTGTGGTCTCTTCTTCCTCCTGTAAGGGCACTGATCCCATCATGGGGGCTCTACTCTGATGACGTCAACCCAACCTGATCTCCTCCCAAAGGCCTCACTTCCAAATACCATTTCACTGGGGATGAGGCCTTCAACACAAGACTTTTGGGTGGATTCAGCCTAGAGCAGAGAGGACTGTACAAAGTTTGAGGGACTAAATACACTGGGAGCCTGGGCTAAGTCATTCTTGAAATAATCAAATTGGATATTAGATAATAAGGAATCAATGGTAGCTTTCTTAGATGTGACAAGGCTATTGAGGTGATGCTAAAACAATCCTTGGTAGAGATTTGTATTGCATTATTTATGGGTAAAATTATATCTGAGATTTGCTTGAAAATACTCAAAAAAAACTGAGAAAGAACAAGGTGACAAAATATTGAAATATTGATTGAAGCTCAGTGATGCATATGCGGGTACTCATTACACTATTCTATTTTCATGTGTGTCTGAATATTTCCATATTTTTTTGAAGGTAGAGTGTGTTGCAATAAGTTTTTGGGGAAAAAAAAGAAACTTAAGGAACATTTGTTTATCAGCTACTAAAAATATACTGAATGAAAAAAGCCAAGTTCAAAAGGTCACATGCTGCATGATTCCATTTTTATAATGTTCTCCAAGTGACAAAATGATAGAGATGGGAGAACACAGCAGTCATTGCCAGGGGTCAGAGATGGCAGAGGAGTGGGGAGGTTGCAGGGGGAGAAAGGGGTGGCTATTGAGGTCTCTAGTGAGAAGGAGGTCTGTGGGGTGATGGGATAGTTCTGTATCTTAATCTTAGTGGTGTTTACATGGTACAAAATGACATAGAACACACATTGTGCCAAAATCTAGGTCTTGGTGTTGTTATGTTGTCCTGTACGTACAGAAAATGTTACCATTGGAACCACTGGGTGAAAATGGGTGGGGGTATATGGGACTTCTCTGTACTTTTGCAACTTTCTGTGAATTTGTAACTTTAAAATTAAAAGTTCAAAAATGCATCAAATTGGGGTGCCCGTCTGGCTCAGTTGGTAGAGCATGTGACTCTTGATCTTGGGGTTGTTTGAACCTCACATTGGGTGTAGTGATTATTTAAAAACAAAATCTTTTTAAAAATGTATCAAAATGTATAATAATTAAAGTAACATAGTTAACAGTACAATAGTAGATCAATGAGGGGCTTCTGCGTGGCTCAGTCAGTGAAACATCTCCCTGAAGCATCTCCCTTCGGCTCAGGTCATGATCCCAGGGTCCTTGGATCAAGCCCCGCATCAGGCTCCCTGCTCAGCAGGAAGTCTGCTTCTCCATCTCCCTCTCCTCTTCTACTCCTCACCCCTGCTTGTGCTCACTCTCAAAATAAAATCTTAAAGAAAATAGATCAATGAAATAGAAAATATGGACAAAAATAAATGCTTACTATGAGTATATATGTGCAATTAGTGTGTAAAAAACCCTGCAGCAAATGTTAGTGGCAAAAGGAAGGATTATACAATAAATTATGCTAGGAAAATTGCTTAACATTTTGAGAGAAAGTTCAAGTTGAATTTTAACCTCCTGCCATATGCTCAAATTCCAGATGGGTAAGAATATAAGAAGTGACTACAGGGGCTCCTTGGTGGCTCAGTTAGGTAAGCGTCTGCCTTCACCTCAGGTCATGATCCTAGGGTCCTGGGATTGAGCCCTTTGTCCAGCTCCCTGCTCAGGAGGAGTCTGCTTCTTCTCCCCCTACCCCTCCTACATCTCATACTCTCTCTCTCTAAATAAAATCTTAAAAAAAAAATGTTGGGGATCCCTGGGTGGCTCAGTGGTTTAGTGCCTGCCTCTGGTCCAAGGCGTGATCCTGGAGTCCCGGGATCGAGTCCCACATCAGGCTCCCTGCATGGAGCCTGCTTCTTCCTCTGCCTGTGTCTCTGCCCCCCCCCCCACCTCTCTCTGTGTCTCTCATAAATAAATAAAATCTTAAAAAAAATAAAAAATTGTTTAAGAAGTTGTCGTGCTGTGAGAAGAGCTGGGAACAACCAATCCCCTGCTAATAGCCAGCAAGAAAATAGGGACTTCAGCCCTTCACCCATAAAGAAATGACTTCAGCCTAGCATCTGGAATGAGTTTGGAAGGCCACGGGTCTAGGTGAGGGTGCAGCATGGCTGACAGCTGGAACGTTGTCTGGACTCTGGACAGAAACTGAGATGATACATGTATATGCTATTCTAAGTCAGCCACTAAATTTGTGGTTTTTATTTTTTTTTAAGATTTTATTTATTTATTCATGAGATACAGAAGAGAGAGAGATAGAGACAGAGACAGGGCAACCCCGGTGGCGCAGCGGTTTGGCGCCACCTGCAGCCTGGGGTGTGATCCTGGAGGCCTGGGATCGAGTCCCGTGTCGGGCTCCCTGCATGGAGCCTGCTTCTCCCTCTCCCTCTCCCTCTGCCTGTGTCTCTGCCTCTCTCTCTCTCTCTCTCTCTCTCTGTCTATGAATAAATAAATAAAATCTTAAAAAAAAAAAAGACACAGGCAGAGGGAGAAGCAGGCTCTATGCAGGGAGCCCAATGTGAGACTTGATCCCGGGTCCCCAGGATCATGCCCTGGGCTGAAGGTGGCGCTAAACCGCTGGGCCACCTGGGTTGCACTGTGGTGATTTTTAAAGCAGTAACTGAAAAACTAGTACAGGTAGTAGATATCAAGAACCCTAAAAATGAAGTTTTAAAACTCTAAAGAAGTCTTTTTGAACTAGAAAACCTCAAAACTGTAAAGATGCTAATTCTCCCTTAATCTATGAAATCAGTGACCACAATCAAAACACCAGAGGTCTTTTTGGGAACTGAGCAAGTTATTCTAAAGTTCACCTAGGAAAATAAAAATGTAAACACAGTAGGAAACTGGAAAATCGAGGTGCAAGAGGGATTGAGCACTGACGTGAAAACATGCTGCTACAGTATGAGCTGCGGAGGACACGCACTGTCACACATTCGTGTGGGAGTTCATGATAAAGGCACCACGTGGAAGATGTGGAGCAACGAAGGGACATTCGTTCACTCAGTGGTGCTGGGACAACTGAATTGACAACTGAGAAAACAGTATTTTTGTCTCAATCCTTACTTGAATTCTTTATGAATCAAAAAATTAAACAGAAAGTAAAACAGTTTTTATTGGTTTGGTGTGGAGAACACCCTTTTTCACTCTGACAGACTCTAAGAGCCATAAGGAAAAGACTGATGTGCCTATCTGTCTAAAAAGCAACAAAGAGAAACTGAAAAGCAAGGGGAACCATTTGCAATAAGATCACAAAGGTAAAATCTCCTGACTATACAAAAAGCTCTCACATACAAAAAAGGTCAAAGTACAAAATGAGGAAACAATATGACATGCATTCAAGGAAAATAAATACCACTGGATCATGAACAAGCAAAAGGAGGCTCAACCTCCCCAGGGAAGCTGATGTGTGACCAGTGGAGACAGGAGCCAATAGTTCCATTTTCATATAATATAGGACAAGATTTAGCAAATTGACAAGAATTAGGGGAAGGTACAGAGAAGTGTCCTATTTACAGATTCTTAGTGGACATATATGTTGATATAATCTTTATGAAAAAGTTTGGCCACGTTTACCAAAACCCTTCTAGTAACTTACCCAATAGATAAACCCTCATAAATGTGTAAATATATAAATGCAAGAATGTTAATTATGGCACCACTCGAAAAAGATTAAAATTGGAAGTAACCTACATTTATATTCATTAAAGGGAGATGATTATGTACTGGATGGGACCCCAGATAATGGACTACAGGCTGCCACCCCTGTATGTGCAGATATGGATCTCAGCCATGACACAGTGTGATCCTAAATGCATCAAACTCCACATGCACATATGAAATGTCTGAAAGGAAAAGAATCCTCCATGGGTAATTTTTAATTATGTATTATTTTTTATTTTTTTAAAGATTTTATTTATTCACGATAGTCTCAGAGAGAGAGAGAGAGAGAGAGAGAGAGGCAGCGACACAGGCAGAGGGAGAAGCAGGCTCCATGCAGGGAGCCCAACGTGGGATTCGATCCCGGGTCTCCAGGATCACGCCCTGGGCCAAAGGCAGGCGCCAAACCGCTGTGCCACCCAGGGATCCCTGTATTATTTTTTAAATCAAATATTCATAGATTTTTAGTCAATATATAAAAAGTGTATTTTTTTTTAAATTTTTATTTATGATAGTCACACAGAATGAGAGAGGGAGGCAGAGACACAGGCAGAGGGAGAAGCAGGCTCCATGCACTGGGAGCCCGACGTGGGATTCGACCCCTGGTCTCCAGGATCGCGCCCTGGGCCAAAGGCAGGCGCCAAACCGCTGCGCCACCCAGGGATCCCTAAAAAGTGTATTAAATTAATACCAAAAATGAACCCTCCAGGAGCACCTGGGTGGCTCAGTCAGTGAAGCATCTGCCTCTGACTCAGGCCATGATCTTGGGGTCCTGGGATCAAGCCCTACGTCAGGCTCCCTGCTCAGCAGGAAGTCTGCCTCTCCTTTTCCCTCTGCCTCCTCCTCTCCCTGCTCTTTCTCTTTCTCATAAATAAATAAATAAATGAAAAATAAATAAATAAATAAATAAATAAATAAATAAATAAATGTAAATTTAAAAAATCTTTTTTAAAAAGAACCCCAATTTAAATTAAATGCAAAATATGAAATGCAGTTTTTTACTTCATGACAAAAATACAAAGGACGCTTCCAGTCCTAGTGCAGGCCATGGGTCATTCATTGGTAGTTCAAACAATCAAAGCTGCAGATGCAGCAATGAAGATGGACAGAGCTCTGGGCCCCAGCATCTCCCTCTACTACTCGCCTTGAGCAAATGACCACTCTGTGCCTCAGTTCCTTCATCTGTAAACAGAGGTGATAAGAGGACCTACTTCAGAAAGTGCTGTGGCTTGGTATTCACCATCATTATTATTCTAGGCTCAGAATGATGTCTGACACAGAAAGAGCAACTATTCACATGTCACCAGGTAGCTGGGTTCATGAGGTATTTAAAGTAGGGAACAAAGAACACTGCAAAGCAATAGGACAACCTGCTAGCATTTTGTAACCAATATGTGACACTGATTATTCTAACTCTACCTGCATGCAAATGTGCACAGAGAGAGAAAGACCCCTCTCTGTAGTGCTTGAACAGAGGCCTGAAAGGATGTGCCTCCAACCTGGAACCCTGGGGAGCAGGCTGGGAGAGGTAGCAGTGAAAGCCATAAAGGCACTTCTGCTTATGTATTTTGTAACATTTGACAAACTTGGCATTTCACAAGTCCTATGCAATCCTTGCAACCTTAACAAGTTTAAGAAAATGCTGTGGCCAACATCAGAAATGTTCATTCTTGGGTGCCTGGCTGATTCAGTCTGTTGAGTGTCTGACTCTTGGTTTCACCTGAGGTCATGATCTCAGGGTCCTGGGATCCAGCCCCGTGTTGAGCTCCATGCTCGGGGGGGGGGGGGGGGTCTTGAGGATTCTCTCTCCCTTGCCCTCTGCCCATCCCCCAGTTCGTATTCACTCTCTACAATAAATAAATCTTTTTTAAAAAAAAGAAGAAATGTTAATTCTTCAGCATTCTGATTGATAAAATTCTGTACAGAGAGGTTGTCTTTGTTTTGTTTTAGTAGATTTAGAATCCTTTGGAAATTGTGTATCTGAACCTTCAACCCTGAGGCAGACCATGTCTCCTCTTTTCTCTCTGTTCCCTTTTCTTCTATGTCTGTCATACAAGCTGGCTGGCAGCTCAGTCTCTCCATAGTGGATGGTGGAAGTGTGTCTCCCTTTTTCTTCCCTGAAAGAGGGTGTCGAGGATTCACCACCCTCGTGGCTGAGCTGTCAATCAGTTAAAGCTCTAGAACATTCATGGACTGTTCTGACTGCTTTCAACCTTGCCCGCTTCTGTTCCTGAACCACATCTAATTCTTTTGCTCTGGCCCTAACACAGGCATCATCTGCCTTATAGAAGAGCTTTTCCACAGACATGTTAAATACCTGGATGTTTTCTTCTTTCTAGAGAAACCTGATGTAAAGGTAACGTCGAGCAAGAAGAAATTTGCCATTCCACAGATCATCATCACTAGAGCCTCTAAAGAGACTCTAGCCAGCTACAGTTCCATTGGAAGCGAAGAGCAGAGAACCATTCAGGAGCAGGTTGAATGGGGCCCCTACTACCGACATAGAAACCCCAGTACAGTAGATGCCTATGATTTACAAGAATAAACAAGCACCCCAAATAGTTGGTAATAGTTATTCACTGTGCTCTGAGTCTCAGCAATGATGGCGGAAGGGCCACCCTGCCCTGTGGGAAGCTGCATTTGCCCCTTTGGTAAATGAGGTCCCCCCAGTGGCCACCTTGGTTTTACCTTCCCCAGAGCTGCTGGCAGCTTGCAGAGGGCAAGAGTGACCCTGGCTCAGAGGGTGAACTTGGTGCATCTACCTCTGTTGTAACTGGCCATGCAAGTTGATGAGCCAGAGGCAGGCAGCATCTCTCTCCTGGTGGGCACTTCTGAAGGATTGTGGTGTCAGGACTTGGCAATTATACTAAATGAGATAGATGTCACCCACACTTGGGAAAAAGGCTGGACTCAGTTCTTACCTTGAAGGTGTCATGCCCCAGAACAGGAAAGTGCACAAGTCACCCTGTGGGGATCACGGGCTCCTACCTTGATGTTACCTGACCCAGAGTCTTAGAGGATCCAGAAGAATGTAGAATTGGGGTAGGGGCCAGACATAGACATGGCACTTAGCACTGTGTCAGTGGCCATATCAGAGCTGCCATGGGAGGATGCCTTTCTGGCTATGGACGGCTCTTCCCTGCTGGCATCCAGCCTCACCGGCAGGCCCAGATCTGATTCTACTCGCTTCCAGAATCACTGCAGGAAGACTCTGTCCTGTCTGCTCTGAGGCCTTCAGTCTGGCAACAGTAAGTTGGTTTCTTTAGTTCCCAGAATGGTCGGCAGGCTTTACGTCTCTACTGATGAGAATCGTATTCTTTTAGTATTAAACAGTAAAATTGACTTCCAGTTGTGGTATAACCCCAAAAGAATAATGGGTGTTTAATAACACACTATTAACATCATTACTTATATTTCTTTGTATTTATTCCATACATTTACACATCCTGACTCACAACTAAGTATTTACAAAGAAGTCAAACCCCTACAAATGTGGATCTGAGCCCACTGGTTGGGCGCGACTACCGCCCCGAAAAATTTCCAGGAGCCATTCCATTTCTCTTATTGGACCTAGAGATGATGGCTCTCCTAGCCTTGCCCTGAGTCTCTCCAACGAATAACGTCAACACTACACGAACTCTCATTTCATTATTAGCTAGAAGCTTAGCTCATGAACGAACTGAAAAAGGGCTGGGATGAAGTGACGAGGAGCCTGTGAACTCCACGTGGTTCTTAAGGTGGGACTGACTTGACTTCACATCTCCAGCTGCCCCGGGCCTCCCGGCCTCCTGAGCGCGGCATCACTCACCTGGTCCGCCAGCCCGGGGCCCCCAGCACCTTGGGCTTGGGTCTCCTCCTGGTCCTCATCCGACCCCCAGCACCCCAGCCAGCAACGAAAACGAGGCCCGAAGCGCGGGAGTGCTGGCGGAGCGCAGGAACGCAGGTCCCCCGGCGTCTTTGGACGGTTGCCCGGGGAACCGTTGCTAAGGTGGAGATGCCCAGGAAGTGAGCGACGCGCCTGCGCGGAAGAACGTCGTCTGCGCCTGCGCACACAGGAAGCGAAGGGGTGTGAGGGGTGGTCTGCGCTCGGCATGGGGGACACCGAGTCAGAGTCGGAGCAGATCCGTCTGAAATGTATCCGTAAGGACGGCTTCTTCACGGTGCCTCCGGAACACAGGGTGCGACGGGAGACCGCTCGGGGTAGTTCTGCCGTTGGCAGGGCGGATCCGGAACGCCCGGGAGTCGCTTAGTGTCGCGCTAAATCGTTGAGGTTTCCGACGCGGGTGGGAACGACAGTCCCAGAGTTCCTCACGGCCGGCGCGGAATCCGGCGGCGGGCGTCCCAGGGGAAGACTGCCCTGGGGGGGCGGGCTGTCCTCCGAGGGGCTGCAGTTCTCCGCCGCTGTCCCGCAGCGCCCTCCGGAAGAGCAGGCTCCGGGGCGGATGACCTGGGGGCCCCGCCTGTCGGGAGGGGATTTCCCTGGGGGAAGACTGGCCGGCGTGGTGCCCCTGGGTTTGGGTGGATCGGGCGGCGCCCCACCCGTCAGCTTCCGTTGGCGTTGCTGGCGCGAGACCTTGCTTGTGTTACTGTCGTGGAGTCCTTCAGGGGCCCGTCAGAAAGATGGGGAAAGTGCAGCGGAGAGTGTGGAGACGGCAGCTAGGCATACGGTCTGGGCGCCCTGGGAGACCAGGAGGGATCAGGAAGGCGCGGCGGCGGAGGGGGTGCCAAGGGCCCCCAAGCAGTCCCCTGGCCACGCTGATACCCAGCCGGTGCTCACCGTGCTCCCGGTGCGCTGCAGCCCCGGAGCCCAGGGCCCAGATGAGCGCAACCCAGGGGCATCTTCAGGCCAGCAACCTATCAGGATTTCAGAGGAAGAATTGTGTTCAGCTGAGGGAAATGTTTGTAAAGGATATTTGTAGAAAGGGTGGCATTTTTGCTGGGCTAGTAAGTGGGACTGGGATTTTGACGCGCAGAGACAAGGAGGGGTGGCATGCCCTACATATGCAATGGCAGGAGTATGAATAGGAAGCACCCAGAGGTTCCCCTGGAGAGAGAATGTGAGGAAGAACCGGTGGGAAGAGAAAGCTGAGGCCAGATCGTGGAAAGGCTCAGTGCAGAGGATTCTGACCTGCTTCCGTGGGTGGTAGGAAGAGACCAGAGGCAGCAGGGCGGGAGAGCAGCTGTTAGACTTTGAACCAAGGAGACATGCTCATTCAGTGTACCCACAAATGTATTGCATTATTAAGATTTATTAGGGCATAGGCTTTCAGCTAGAACTGAACCCCAAAATACAGTGGCTCAAGTACAGGACTTTAGGGGCTCCTGGGTGGCTCAGTCAGTTAAGTGTCCAGCTCTTGATTGCAGCTCAGGTCGTGACCTCAGTGTCCTGGGATGGAGCTCAGCTCTGGGCTGGACACGGAGCCTGCTCAAAATTCTCTATCCCTCTCCCGCTGCCTCTCCCTCTGGCCCTGTGCGTGCACATTTTCTCTCTCTCCAAAAAAAAAAAAAAAAAAAAAGGACTTTATTTCTCTCTTCCCTGACATTTCCAAGAGAGGCTGGGAATTTCCACAAGGTGAGGCCAGGCACTCAAGTTATCTGTCTTGTAGATCCACTTGTAGCTCATTCAAATCTCACCCCGCTTCAGGAGCAAAAAGGAGCAGGCAGCAACATCTTTATTTCATCAGGAAGTCCTCTTTCTTGAAGCCCTTGTCCTTTCTGCTCACATCCTATTGGCCAAAATTTATTCAAATGGACATACCTAGCTGCAGGGAGTCTGGGAAATGCGGCCACCAGCTGAGTGGCCATGTGCCACTGGGCAGTGTTGTCTAATTCTAAGAAATACCATGTGGATGTTGGGACAGTCTCTGCCACAGAAGCGTTTCCACTGTGTTTGATGGAAGTTTTGTCTATTTTCAGGGCATAGTTTAGACTGGTGCTCCTCAGTAGTTTTCCTGTGATGGTGAAAATGTTTTCTTTCTCTGGACTCTTGATCTTGGAATTATGAGTTCAAGCTCTATGAGTTCAAGCTCTACATTGGGTATGGAATTTACTTAGAAGAAACAAAAAAGAAATGTTGCTTTTTGAGTCATCCAGTATGGTTACCATGAGCCCTGTGGAACTGTGGAGCGCTACACACATGGCAGTTGAGGAAATGAAATTTTAATTTAATTAGTTTTAACCATATGTGGCCTGTGGTTATTGTTTTTAGACAGCATCCCTCTGGACCATGGGTTTGGAAGGGAAAAGGGTGTCTGTGAAATAGCATTGAGAGGGTCTGATGGCCCAGTAACATCGTCTCTCTTTTTCCTCTGAAAAGCCCAAGTGTGTGGTTATCTTTGGCGAGCAAAACATGAGTGAGCAACTTGGTACAAATTAAGTGTGAAATACTTATCTTTAGTTGTCCCTTTAGCTGCCCAATCCTTGCACTGCCAGCACTTCTGTCTTTCAGCTGGGACGATGCCGGAGTGTGAAGGAGTTCGAGAAGCTGAACCGCATCGGGGAAGGCACCTATGGCATCGTGTGTGAGTGACTGAGATGGGAGCCCTGGGGCTCAGGGGACTGTCCCAGCAGTGGCTATGTCAGGACTGGAAGGGAGTTAACAGCTATTGCTTTAGGGCCAGGGCAAATGTACAAGTGAACTCTCATCCATGGTGTACTTACAAAATTTCATGCTGTGTTGTAAGTGTCAGATTGCCAGAGTGGTTGCAAGTGGAGATAATTGTTATAGCAAAACCTAGGACTTCCAAAAGCAGTCAGGGCTGCAGCTTGTAGTGGCTGTGACCTTGGTATGCACTCATACCCATGAAGATTTGGAAACTCTGTGCATTATTAGCACAGTGCTTCGAGGAGCCTCGTTTGCACAAAACAGGGTTTTTTCCTAACTAACGTATCTTACTTGGTATTAGAACATGGTAAACAGAGGGCAAAGCAGTGGCCTGTGTACTGACTCTAAGGAGGAGAATTTAGGGGGAGCTTGTTCTAACCAGCATCCTGTGCTCCCCAGAGAGCCTGTGTCTGGTAGGGCTGGGAGTGCTGCTTGCCCTTATGTCCCTGGGCATCCAGTTATCAAAGAAGAAGAGAAAGGGGCTCCACAGAGTTCAGAATGAGGCCCCTACAAGGCACAGGGGTGTGTGATGCGGGCTTAAGTAAGAGTCCATCATGGATGAGTTTTCCTTTCAGATCGGGCCCGGGACACCCTGACAGATGAGATTGTTGCCCTGAAGAAGGTACGGATGGACAAGGAGAAGGATGGTGAGCTCACAGTGGGAGGGGTGGAAAGGTGCCAGTTTTCTAAGGCTTCCTCTAGCCCGAACCCCCAGTGCTGAGAGCATCTGTGTGAGGGTTAAGGGGGACCTGTTTCTGGGAGGCTCTAGCCTGGCCCTGCCTGTCCTGTCCTCCTGCCCCATGCTCTGGGTCTTAGCTCCTCTGTACCTTGTGCACTTGATCTTCTTTCTCTGGTGAGTGACCTGTCTTCTGTCTCAGCCCAGCCGTCACCCCTCCCGCCAGCCCTCCTTGCCTAATTGCACAGGGTGTGCCTCCACACACCCCTGATTTCTAGTCCTAGCACCTCCCTGGGTGTCCATGCAGGCAGGGCCTCACAGTGGACCCCTGTCATACACAGTAGTCAGTACAGGGAGTCACTGCTTTGTATCATTGAACAAAGGAAGGGTTCAGGTGGGCAGAGCCCTGACAGTAGTAGGGGTCGGGCTCACTGAGCAGGCCAGCTGGCTGCAGGGTCCCTGTGTGCAGGGATGGAGGTTGCTGAGGCCATGTCTGCTCGCAGGGGTCCCCATCAGCAGCCTTCGAGAGATCACACTGCTCCTTCGCCTTCGCCATCCCAATATCGTGGAGCTGAAGGAAGTGGTTGTGGGAACCCACCTGGAGAGGTAGGCTGTCTGCTGGTCCTCTGCACAGGACCCTACTGAGCCTGCCTTGCCTATCCAGCTCATCCTTCCTGCAACCCTAGGAGGTGCCTTTGGCCTACCTGGGGTGATGTGGAAGGTAGCATGTGTCTTCCCCTTCTTCTTCTAGCATCTTTCTGGTGATGGGTTACTGTGAGCAAGATCTGGCCAGCCTTCTGGAGAATATGCCGACACCCTTCTCTGAGGCCCAGGTACAAGGCTGGGGGCCCTGGAGCAAAGGCACCATCCCAGGTTCTTGTGTAGCTTGTTTGTGCTGTGCACATCTCACCCTAACTGACACTTCCTGCCCTTGGCATAGGTCAAATGCATTGTGCTACAAGTGCTCCGAGGCCTTCAGTACCTGCACCAGAACTTCATTATCCACAGGTAGGAGGCACCTCGAGACATATGGGAAGAGTGACTGCCAGTACTGACTGCTGGAGAGGACCAGGCGTCAGTGCAAAACTGTCCCTTGGGGCAGGATCCAGGCCCACACAGCACCCACGTCCCCCCACCTTGCTGTTAAGGGCTGGCAATGTGTGTGTAGTCAAGGCTATGAGAAGTCCTACAGTGGACAGGTCCCTCCCGGAGGCAGACAGAGTGGGGGACCTTTCCGGCTCAGGGCAGTTGTGTGCAAGCCATGGCTTCGTGTGTCGCGGGGCAGCTGATGCAGCCCTGGGTGGCGAACAGGCATGGGACTGGAAGTTAGGCCTGGGCTTGAGGCCAGGCTCTGCCACTTCCTGAGAAAGGTACTGAGAGCTCTGGCACTGCCAACTGCGGCTTGGCCTTCTGATGCCTGTGATGGAGACAGCCTGGCTGCCCCATAGGGCTCGCGTCTTGGGAACCACTGATGTTCCCTTCCTGTCACAGGGACCTGAAGGTGTCCAACCTGCTCATGACTGATAAGGGCTGTGTGAAGACAGGTGGGTGTGGGGTGCCTCTCTGTGGGACGTGTCTCTGGGAGTGCCCCCTTGGGTGGGGGGTGGCTCAGGCCTTGCCAGCACCCTGGTGCCCACACAGCAGACAAGGTGGCCGCCATTTGGTGACAGGCTGCCTCTCCTGCCCCTCTGCCTTTGTCACAGCGGATTTCGGCCTGGCCCGGGCCTACAGCATTCCCATGAAGCCAATGACCCCCAAGGTGGTCACACTCTGGTGAGTCCCTCAGTGGGGAGGAAGTTTGGGGGGGTCGATTGTGTGGAAGCAGTGGAAGGACCCTGAGGCTCCTCATAGAGCCTGGATCTGAGACAGCTGCCTGAAACTTCAGGGCACAAGAATGACAGCACGCACGGCCTGGGGGACCACCCTGCCTAAGGCAGCCAGATGCCCAGCCTACATCCAAGCCCATCCCAGATGCCCAGCCTACTTCCAAGCCCATCCCAAGGGGAGGTCGTGCCTCAGACTTTGGCAGGAGTGGGGTGGCGTATGCAGCTTTGTGTAATTATTTCTCACTTAATTTTTTAAGGAGCAGAACAGGATTGTGGTTAAGAATAGGACATTGAGATCATTCATCTTCTGCTGTCCATCTACCAACCCCATCTGTAGGATGGGCTGACAGGAAACCCCCAGGAGCCACTCAGCAATGCTGAGAGGAAGAGGCGATCTGAGCTGGGCTTGGTGGTCCTGGAGCCCGAGCTATCTCGGGTGCTCAGGAAGGCTGGTGGAGGCTCAGCTTACCTGCAGGGTGCAAGAGGAAGTACTTCTCCTTGCAGGTACCGAGCCCCTGAACTGCTTTTGGGAACCAGCACGCAGACCACCAGCATCGACATGTGGTAAGAAGCAAACACAGCTCCCAGGGCCCAGGGGAAGGGCTGGGGTAGGTCCCATGGGGGCTGGCTGGAGCAGCAGCAGGGCTGGAGTCTTTGCCAGCCTCCTAGCCCCTGGGGGATGGGGAGTGGATGGGGGTTGGGCTGAAGCCTGGAATCCCAAGAGGAAGCATGAGAACATGGCTTCCACAGAAGAAAGGTCCTCTGGGACCGGGTCATGTCCCATCATGAGCTCCCAAGCTCCACCTTATCCTGACCCCAGCTCATGAGATGTGTGTTGGGCAGCACTTGCCCTCAGCTGAGGTGGCCACAGCGAGCAGGTGTGTGAGGTAAGGCCCGTTCTCTGCAGGGCCATGGGCTGCATCCTGGCAGAGCTGCTGGCCCACAAGCCCCTTCTCCCCGGCACTTCCGAGATCCACCAGGTGGACCTGATCGTACAGCTGCTGGGGACGCCCAGTGAGAACATCTGGCCAGTGAGTGCTTGGTCTCTGCCCTCGTCCTGCCCCCTGCCTGGGCCAGCCCCTGCAGCTTCAAGTCTTGCTTCCTGCAGGGTTTCTCCAGGCTGCCGCTGGTGGGCCAGTACAGCCTGAGGAAGCAGCCCTACAACAACCTCAAACACAAATTCCCGTGGCTCTCAGAGGCCGGCCTGCGCCTGCTCAACTTCCTCTTCATGTATGACCCTAAGAAAAGGTGCTGTGACCTGGCCTGCAGGCAGGAGTGGGGACGGGACCCCTCTGACCTGAGCCCTTGAAAGAGAGATTTTCAGAACCCTGACCACGCTGCTACAGACATGGGCACAGAGGACCAGGCACCTAGTCTGGGCGGTTCCTGCCTACCTGGCTCATGGAGCCCATTCTGAGTTTCCTATCTGTTTCCGGGCCCCAGCCCCCTTCTTGCCACTCAGCACTTTTTGTCTGGAACCTTGAATCAGAGGCCACGGAGCTGGGTGGGTGTGAGGGTGACCAGCCTGGGTGACACCTGCTGTCCTGCTCACGCTGAGGCCTCCTCTTCAGGGCCACAGCCAGAGATGGCTTGGACAGCTCATACTTCAAGGAGAAGCCACTGCGTGAGTCTCCCAGACAGCCCCCAACCCCACTCAGCTCTGCAGGGTGCTTGTCATGTAGCCGTCTCGCCTAGGGTGGGGGGTGGGGGCACAGTCTCACAGGACACCTCCAGCCCCTGTGGGGGTGGTGTGGGGGTCCCTAGGGAGGCAGGTGCTCATGGGCCACACACTGTTCTCTGGGGGGAGCGGAGGGAGATGAAACCTAAGGGCCCCTCATGCATGCAGAGTGGGGTTCTCAGACCCAAAACACACTCCTCCCCCATCCCCCTGCCTGCCTAGTGCTGAATAGCTCCCTCCCTGCAGCTTGTGAGCCAGAGCTCATGCCCACCTTCCCCCACCACCGCAACAAGCGGGCCATCCTGGCCACATCTGAGGGCCAGAGCAAGCGCTGTAAGCCGTGACAAGTTGGCAGGAGGTCTGCGATGGACAGCCATGGACTGGGAACGCCTTTGCAGTCCAGGCTTGCAGGGCTGCTGACCTCTGCTCCTCCCTTGGTTGAGAGCCACCTGCTGCTCCTGCTGATTACACCCCTTCCCCAGAAGAGTGGGGAGGGGGACACCCTGAAGGGCTGGCACTCTCATACTGGGTACCTGCTGTCATGTCCTCAGCCGGTAACTCTCACCCTCACTTTCCAGGGGGAAATGCCCACTGGGCCCAGTTCAGTGAGCATTGCTAGCTTGGGACGAGCAGACCCCCATGATCGCCTGTGCCCCTCCCACCCCCACCTCCGAAGCACCAGGGTCTGTCCGGGTCAGCAAGAGGCTGTGGTGAACAGCCCCCTCAGACCCCAGTTAGGGCTGGCAGCACTCAGGATGGGAAGGAGAGATCGAGTGTGGGTCACATCCCACCTGATGGACTGGGGTCCAAGCCCTGCCCCTGCTCTCACACTGAGGCCCAGAGGGGAGAGGATGGGAGTCAGATAAAAAAGATTTTCTAACAGGCATAAGCAGGGTCTGCGTCCTTTAATGAACTTTAACGTCCTGATTTATGTGATATGGTGGTTCTCTGAGTCCTGGGGAGAACAGGAAGTGGACTAGATGGTCTAGGGCAGCGTGCCCAGTGAAGAGGGGCCAGCATAGAACATGGGCACCTGTCCCCTGTGGTCCAGGGGGTGAACAGTTCCAGGACCCCCCCCCCCCCGAGAAAGGGGCTCCACCTTAGGTGGCTGCCTACAAGCCTGGCTACTTCTTTACTACTGGATCTGGGGAAGAGTCCTCTGGTGAAAAGCATGGCCTCCCACCCTGCCTTCCAGAGCCTATACAGCAGAAAGCCAGCTCCAGGGTGGCTCCTGGGGTGCTGACTGCTCAGAAGCCTGACACTCTACTCGGAAGGGGAGTGACACAGCCCGTCCACTAGCTCCCCACCTCCTACTTCCTGCTGCCTATTCTCTGGACTTCTTGGGAGCTTCCTCACTCTGCTTTGAGATCAGATCATGTCTTCTCTGTTTGTGGGCCAAACTTTCCAGTTCAGCTGTAAGCAGGGCATATGGGCTGGTTCCAAGGCAGCCCTCGGCCTGTTCAGCCCTGGCTTAGGACACCCACAGGCAAGGGGCTAGGCCAGCCATGTACCTGGCAGGGCCCCCAGGGACACCCCTGTGAGGAGAATCTCCCCTGGACACTTGGAGGGAGGCAACACGTTCTGAAGCACAGCTGTAGGGATCAGGTCAAGAGTTCCAGGCTGAGTGCTGGGTCCCTAGAGTGGGATGGGAGGAGTGAAAAAAAAGAGAGGGCTCTTCATAGTACAGGCCTCGTGGGGAGACACCTCCATCGAGCATGTCTGGATATGGGCCTGGATGCTAGGTGCAGGGGGTAGGGAGTTGGCCATCCCAAGGCAGGAGCTTTCTGTGGGAGGCTGGACCCCACTGAGCTGTGCCCAGGAGTCCCCAAGGGGCAGGGTGGCCAGAGGCTTAGGCCCGAAGAGTGATGAGGTCCAGAGAAGCACCACAGAAACTGTCTCTGGAAGGCCTTTGACTCAGGGCCTGGCTGGGCCTAAGGTTGGGCCCCGGTCCCGTCATAGAGCAGGGAGTCCACCTGTGCACGCTGTAGCCAAAGTCGCCGTTGTGTATCACTGAGCAATGCACGAAGCGCGTGGCCTGGACGGCAGGTGGGCAGGCTGCCACAATGGGCAGCGTGCAGCTGGCGACAGGTGTCACAGCAGAGGGCAGGCAGGGCACCCGGAGCTAGGCAGCTATGTGCCTGGTAGCCCAGGGCCTGGGGGCTGGGCCCATGCACCAGCTGGGGGCTGGCCCGCCCAGGGCTTCCTGGGGCTTTGGTAACAGCTGCAGCTCCAGGCTGACTTAGCAGCTCTCGTCGCAAGGAGAGGAAGGAGAAGGCGGAAGGCTCCCGCTCCAGCTCCAGCTCCTCCTCCATGGCCCCATAGGGTGGGCTGCTGGCCTGCGGCAGCACCTCAGCATCCCCCAGAGGCTCCCAGGCCCCGCCCCTGGCACCCCACAGTTTGGCGCTCTGTTCCCAGAGCAGAGGTTGGCAGGCCAGCTCCGGGGGTGGTGAATCGGGGCCTGGGGAGGGCCCGCCGTACAGGCTGGCCTCCTCTGAGCCCTCATCCTCCTGCAGGTCCCGGTATAGGTCCAGCTGGGTCTGGTAGACTGTGGGGGAGCCCCGAGGGGGCAGAGGCGGCGGCTCTTCTTCCCGGGCCAGCCGCTGCTGCAGCCAGGCCACACAGGAGGCCACATCTGCGCTGGCCCGCCGTGCCTGCAGCAGCTCCTCAGCTGGCAGCACGCTGGTGCCCAGCTGTGCGAGCACCTCGCCCAGGATCTCACACTCCAGCCGAAGGGCAAAGCAGCCCAGAGCCACTTGAACCAGTTGGCAGGCAGGTGGCAGGGCAGCCATCATCAGGCGGTGGTTGTCCCTGGGCACATAACCCATCTTCTGGAAGCTCTGTATGAGGAGGTCCTCTGAGAGGGCACCCTTCAGCACGTGCACATAGCCTCCTGAAAAGGTCTGCAGAGGAGGGTCCTGGTCAGCAGCCCAACTCCCGCAGACCTGACCCACACTCAGGCTCTGTCCTGGCGGTGGCCACGCCCCAGAACCAGGCTGTTCCGGGCTATGCTCACACTTCCTTCAGAAGGGCTTCTCAACAACCACGCTCAGAACCAGAGACCCATTTTTGTAGCTGGGGCAGGCCCAGTGAGTAAATCAGAACAAAATAAAGAGCTCCTACGGTAAGAAATCTCACTTTCCCCACGGTGTCCTCCATCTCCTGTCACCCCTGGGGCTTGGCTGAGATTTGGTCACACAAATAAGGGTGCTTATCTGCTTCAATCAGGTAGCTTCCCCAACAACGTTCTGAACTCCACCTTCCCACTTCCTGTTCTGGAGAGCTTGCCCCCGTTGGGACAAAGGGTTAGCCGTTCATTTTTTCCAACTGTGTAGCATTCCATCACGTAGATGAAACATCCCATGTTTTTTTGGAGGCTCTAATGTGCATCTGGTTTGAGAGCCCAGGGATGCCAGAGGGGAAAGTGCTTTCTAGGCTGCAGTTGTGAGGAACTAGGAGGGTTTCAGGATGATGATCCTGTGTCTCCCCCCAGTTCTAAAATTCTGTAACTCTGGGATCCTGCCAGCATTCCTCTGCTTATAGCTGATGACGATACCTCCTGCGGACTGACCACTACTGTGTGCAAGCACTATACTCAGGGTTTTGCCTTCACCCTCACAACAGACCTTGGACTGGACTCTTCTTGTGTCTGTTTCACAGACGAGGACGAGGCTTCAGAGCGATTAAGTAACTAACTTGCACAAAGTCACACAGCCAAGAGGAAGCAGAACCAGATCCCCACCAACACTGAAGCCCATCAGCCTGTCTGTCCTGTTCTTGGCTTCCCATGGGCCTGGCCCTTTATGGTGCTTTTCTTGCCCTGTTATCTGAATGAAAAGTCCTAGAACCTCTGACAAGCAGGTGTCCCCATGAGGCAGTAGGCTCCAGAGCACACCTCTTGAGACAGAGGAGTGGAGGAGAGGAGGGTGGGGGGAGAGGGAGAGAGGGAAGGATGGAGAAAGGGAGAGAGGGGGAGAGAGAGAGAGAGAGCGCGAGCGCGAAAGAGAGAGTGCTGCTGCCATGGCAACCAGTGGAGGTGGACTCGCCCACGTGCCCAATGACATCAGCACCTTTCTACTCTTCCAAATTAGCTTTGAGGGCCAAATGCCTGCCCCCTCCTGCAGGCCAACAGCTCACCCACAGGGGAGACCCATCCAGACCCCGAGGGTCTGCAGAGTCTCCAGCCTTTAGGGACTTCGTAGGGAACACACCCACCTATCGCCCTTCTCTGTAAATGGGATTATGGAAGGATGGGTGACCATGGAACCTCTCGTCCGTCCCGTGCACCTGTCCTAGGAGTTCTGTGCCACAGGGGCTGTGAGGCCACTTTGAGGGAGGGCAGCGATTCAAGCTTTGAGGAACAAGGGTCTCCTTGGGAGGCAGGCACCCAGGGTGGGTAGCCTCCACCCACACCATGTTTTCAGCTGCAGGAGTGCCCAGGGGGACCTTGGCCAAGAGCTGCGCCAAAGCACCCAGAACCCCCTCCCCCGCGGGCACGCTGCGCCCCGCGAGACCCACCGGCTCCGGGGACACCCGCAATGCCCGGTTGCCCACGGCAGCCTCTACCCCCTCGGGCCCGCGCCCTACCTTGATGGTGGTGAACTCCTTCCTCCAGGGCAACAGGTACAGATGCACAGCGGCCAGCTCCAGCAGCTCGAAGGCGCGGGCCAGGCCGCGCAGCGCGGGGGCCAGGTCGGCGCGGCCCCACAGCCCGTCGGAGAGCAGCGCCAGCGCGTCGTCCTGCAGCGCCCCGTGCAGATCGAAGTCCTCCACCAGGATCTGCCACAGCACCGCGCGCAGCGACGGGTCCCCGCACACGCCCGCGCGCCCACGCCGCAGCTCGCGCTCCAGGCACAGACGGTAGTCCTCGGACAGCGAGCTGCTGCCCATGCTGGCGGGCGGGGGTCCGGCGTCAGGGAGCAGAGCCCGGGGCCCGCCGGCTGCGCGCCCCCCGGGGCCCCCGCCCCGCATCCACATGGCCCCCAACAGCGGGAGGCCTCGCAGCGGAGCCCCCCTCCCGGGCCCGCCCCGCCAGCTGGGTGCCCCTCGGGGACGCGGACCCCCGCCTCGCCCGCCGGGTCGTGCGCCGGGCCTCGCCGAGGGGCCGCTCTACCTGTCGTCCCCGGCGGAGCCCCGTCCCCCGCCTCTCGGCGCGGACCTCCCGGCGGCCGTGCTCTTCCGCCGCCCGCGGCTCCGCCCATCGGTCTGGGCCGTGACGCTCGGGGACGGGGCTGGTGCCGGGCTCCGCCCCTCCGCCCCTCCGCTCAAGGGGCGGGGGCCGGGCGGGGGCCGGCGGGGCCTCGGGCCGCCCGCGGGGCATCTGCCGCCGCCTCCCACGCCGGCCCGGCCGCCGCACCCGGGCAGCTCCTGGCGGGTCCTGGGCCGGCCGCGGGCGGGCGCGCGGTGGGCGCTGGAGGAGCGGTGCGTGCCGCAGCCCCTCCCTCCGAGCTGGGGCCTGGCCGCGCGGGCCACGGCGGAAGCGGGTACTGCTCGCGCGCACGGGAGGGGAACCCAGCAGCCTCAGGTGGGTGGAGCGGCCTCCGGGTCCCTCTGTGGGCTCAGCTTCCTGCTCCCTGACAACATCATCTGGGGGTCCCTGAGGCGGGAGGGGGGGCGAGGGAAAACCCTTCCTAACTAGGCCAGCCTCGCTTCCAGGTGCCTGACCCGTGCGCTAAGCCCACCTGGGCGGAGGATGGATGGGAGAGATTTAGTCCTTGGGGGGCCCTGCTCAAGGCAAGGAAGGTCGTCTTCTGAGACCTTCGTCCCTGGGCAGGCTCTGTTCCTTGATTTCTGGGCCCCTGACCTCTCCAGGCCGCTCTATGGATATCGGACCTGTCTGGGCAGTGCCCTGCAGGTGCGTCTTGAGATATTTCGGATGGGACGTTTAGGAAAATATTGTGACCGAGCTGGTGATCTCCTTGACACATGTTGCTGGCCTGCACTCAACGTGGAGGTATTTCACTTACTGTGTCCTGAACCCTGCCCTAGGGCCTCACCAACCCTGAGGACACAGTTAACTTCTGGTCCTCTTTTGCTTGTACGCAGAAGGGTTGAGCTTAACCTTCACCACTGAATTCGTGGTGGTCTTCAGATGCGAGGCCTCTGGAATGGATCATCTGAGGCCACGCCACAGCCCCCGCTCCCCCAACGAAGAGAACTGTTAACTGGTTGCAGCTGCATTCTTGGTGCAGATTCTGGCAGAGCGTGCAAAATCGTGTCCTCAACTCTATGTAGCTGATGTTCTGCACTCAGTACGTGTTTACCATCTGTCTCTGTTGCCGTGTGAGACTCTGGGATATTGCTCCCAACTGTTGCTTCTACTCTAGGGCGTGTACGTGGCTCTTCCCGGTGTGACATGTGAACCTGGGCAGGTCTTTGCACCTGCTTCCACCTGTAGAATGAAGGTGACATTGTTTGGCTTCCCAGGATAAGTCATTAAAATACCTCGTTGAGATGTTTGCTCTGGGAATCTAGCCATCATATTGGGGGAGAGCTGGAAGCCACATGGAGAGAACTTGCACTAGACTAAATAATGTCCCCCAAGTCCATGTCCCCCTAGATCCTGGGAATATGAGCTTATTTAGAAAAAGTTTTTTTGTAGACATAATCAAGTTGAAGTCATGCTGAATTAAGATGGGCCCTAAATCCAATACCTCTGGTGGTGTTATGAGAGTTTAGGGGAGAAGGTCTGTGGTGATGGAGGCAGAGATTGGGGGCCTGCCTACAGTTACCAGCCAAGGATTGCAAGGACCAGGAAGGTGGATGAGGGAAGCAAGGATTCTGCTCTAGTACTTTGAGGGAGTATGGTCCCATCAGCATCTGGAATTCAGACTTCTGGGTTATAGAACTTTAATAAATTTCTCTGGTTTTATGTGACACAGTTTGTGGCATTGTGTTATGGCAGCCAGAGGAAACTAATGCAGGCCTCACATTCTGTCCTAGAATGTAGTTCTGAGTCCTGAGTCTTGACTGAGGTCCTAGGTGACAAGCATCTACTGTAGACATGTGGACAAAGCTCTAGAGGATTCCAACTCCTGATGTGGGTCACCCAACCTGGAAGCTGACCCAGCTGATGCTGGGATGCAGATAGGCTGTCCCCACTGAATCCTGCCCAAATGGAAGATTCACAAGCAAAGTAAATGACTGCTGTTGTGGTTAAGCCAGTGTGTGTGGGGGGGTGGTCTGTTACACAGCAATCCATGTGGGACCATGTGCATTTACCACCTTCCCCTCCACCTTCCTGGGAATGGATGCCACACTGCCTGATCCCATCTGTGTACGTGTCCTCTTGTGTACGTGTACCTTGGGCTACAACCAGGAACAGGCCCGCTAGGTCAGAGGGTCAGTTGGTATTTGCCTTGGCCCAGGACTGCACCTAGTTCTTGAATCTGCTGCCCAGTACACGGCACACTGTGTGCATAGTTTTCAGCTCCTGCACCCCACCTTGCTCAGCTTCACCCAGCTTTTGGATTTTACCAGTCTAGTGCACGTGAAACTCTACCTTGTTATTGTGTTAATTTGCCTTTCTTGATTTGTAAGGTTTTGAACACTTCTTATGCTAATTAGCTTTTTAAAACTTCTTCCTATGGAGGCACGTAGGTGGTGCATTCAGTTGGGTGTCTGACTCTTGACTTTGGCTCAGGTCATGATCTCGAGTTGTGAGATCAAGTCTCTCGATGGGCTTCACACTCAGCATGGAGTCTGCTTGAGGATTCTCTTTCTTTCCCTTTGCTCCTCCCCCTCCCCATGCTTGCTTGCTCTCTCTCCCTCTTGCTCTCAAATATTTAAACAAACAAACAAACAAACAAAAACCTTCCTCCTTGGTAGACTGTTCGTAGCCTTTGCTATTTTTCTTTTTGGGACTGCTGCCTTTTTCTTGTTGATTTGCAGGATTCCCAGGGGGAAGAGTGAATTATTCATACATTTTATGGAGGAGTCATGGGTTCAGAGAGGCTAAAGGACTGGCCCAAAGTCACACAGTAAAAAGCAGCCTAAGCACAGCCTGACAGCAGCGTCTAAAAGAGGGTGCCAAGGAGACAGCTCATCCCCAGAGGTGCGGTCCCCAGTGCAAAGCCAACAGGTACCTCCAACTGTCAGGCTTAGCTGAAGACACTTTCATCCTCCATCTGCTCTATGAAGGGCCCTTTAAAATCCCACCCCTGAGATGTCAGTGCCAAGGCCTGATGCATGGATGTCACCCCCTCTTCCCAGAGTTCTGTGGTTGGCTGGGATTCTCATCCAAGCCTGGGGTAGTCAGAACTCTACACTTAACAGGAACATACGCAGAATGTCAGGGAGCGAAGGGCAGGGCAAGGGTAGGAGACAAAGGCCACACAAGAGTATGGGTGCTGGCTTGTCTGTTCTCGGGGGCACTGGTGGGCAGGGGGCCCCAGGCCACAAGAGCACGTGACACATGACAGCTGCCCCAGCCCACTGGGGTCTTGACGACAGGTGTCCATGGCCTCTTGAGTTGGCTTGCTGAGCTCAAACCCAGCTCTGCCATCATGAGGTGCAGCCTAGAGAAGTCACTTCCCCTGTCCATATCTCAGTTCCTCATGGAATTCCTGTGAGGACAGATCTCAGAGGACTTGGAATACTGCTTCATAAGAGCACCCAATAAACACCAACTGCGGGCTGTTTCCTCAGAGCCCTTCCCCAGGGAACCTGCACACCACTCCCCTAACTGGCCCCTGGCATGGCTGGGCCCAAACCACCTGCCTCAGTGGCAACTCAGGTTTGCCAGAGATCCCTCCTTCCCTGGCAGATGCTGCTGCAGCTGGGGCTGGGCTGCTGGCTTTCTCCTCTCTAGGGGAAACACGTATCACGACCCAGGGCACCCCCATGTGTTTCCCACCTAGAGAACAAAGATGCTCTCTGAGCCCTTTGGGTCAAGAGGCCCAGTCACAGGTCCTGCCCAAACTACTAGGCCCTGCAGAGCATGTATTATCTTCAAGGATGCAGCCCTAGGGGGGGTCCCTCTCCTGTTCAGGGGGTGCCTGGGGAGATGGGTTTTGTCCGGGGGTAGACCTTAATGATCTCAGGGACAGTCTGGCTCTGGCTGGTCAGCAGGGGAAGTAGTTGTACTACTTGTGCCTCCACGTAGCCAATGGAATGGTGAGCAAGAGAGCTATGCAGAATGAGACATCAGTGACCTCTTTATTTTTGGCTGTGTCAATGGCTGCCCGGGGCATGTAACAGTCAGAGTGGACACTGGGCTGTAGGCAGGCACTGATCCTTGGGCTCACACTGACCCAGAAGGGGACATGCGGGGGTGGGAATTAGCCAGGGGTCCAGGAAGGCCAATGCCTACTGCCGAGGTGGGAATGGCTCAGAGGCTCCAGACGTGAGTGGGTACCCTGGGGATGCCTGGGCTCCAGAGGAGAATGGAGTGGTCAATACCCAGTAAGTAAACAGTATAGAAAAACAAACAAACAAACAAACAGTATAGTTTCAAGCCACCTGGGCCCCAGGCCTTGGGGTGGGGGCAGGGGATGGGGAGAGGCTCTCATCTTGACTCCACCAAGAAAAGGGATGACACCAGAAGCCAACTATCACCAGAGATGGAAAGGGAGAGAAAACCAGACCTGCCCTCTGCCAGGCCCATGGCCCCCTCCCTACTGTGGGGTTGATGGGACTGTGAGGACATGTGCACAGGCCCCAGGCAGCCCACAGCTCTGGTATTCCTGCTGAGACAAGAAAGGCTCAGGCTGAGACAAGAAAGAGACAGGCCTAGTTCCTAGGAGCTGCTTCAGCTCAGCTCTACTCTCTGAGCAAATGAGGTGCCTCCTCGAGTCCCTGGGGGTGGATGTCAGGGCAGGTGCAGAGCTGCAGAGCCCCAACCCTGCCAGAGTAGGTGCCTCCTGGATGGTCCTCCGCTACTTGCCCAGAGCCCCCCGGGGCAGCAGCTCCACGTAGCTCAGGGCACTCTGTAGTGACGTCAGGCAGTAGCCCTCCTCTCCGATCAGGTATCTGAGGTAGGCAGAGGTGGCATCTGTCACCTCCAGGTGAGGCAAGGAGGCCCCTGGCACTTTGGAAGGGGTGTCTGCACTTGTCGGGCAGGACCTGGACACTGAGGCCCCACAGGGATCTGTCAGGGAGGCTGGGCTGGGGGACAGCCCCCTCCTCAGGCAGATGCTGCTCAAGGGATGGGCCCCGGTTCCCGTACACAGTATGCTGAGCAAGGGGTAGTGGGAAAGGGCTGGAAGCACGTGCCCCATCCCCCACAAGCGCCTGACTCCAGGTGGGGGCTCCTACCCCTCATGGATGAACTCCTCCAAGGCTGCACACTCTGACACCAACTGGGGGAGACCACTTCTCAGCACCACGAAGGACAAGATGGGCAGGAGGTCATCGGCACCACTGTTGGGCAGAGGCATGGCTGGCCAGTAGGCTCTGGGGGCCAGTACAACTGCTCAATCCCCAAAGCCCTGCAGCCCCCAGCTCGGCCTCTAGAGTGCCAGCTGCTCTCCCTGTGCCCCTCCTGCCCACCTGTGTGGGGGTAGTTGGGAGTGGGCTCAGGTCAGCGGCACTGGCAGCCACTACAGGCAGCAAGGCTGTCCCTAAATGGGGACCCTGTGCTGCAAAGCCCGTGGCTGGACAAGGGGAGGCCCCCACAGTGGACATGTGGGGGTGGCCTCAACCTCACAAGCTTGCCCCACAAGCGTGCCCACATCTGGGGAGCAGGGTAAAGGAGGGGATGGCCCATGTCCCAGGCACTCTGCTGACAACTGGCATACTGTACAAGAGGCATCTAGGAAAACTAAAAAGGTACCAAGGGAGGCCCTGCAGGACATGCAGAGCCCTGGTCCGAGGGCTCACAGGGTGGTGGTCTCTGGGAAGAGCACAGGAGCAAAGACTGTGGCTCGAGTATGATTACCAACCAGGAAGGCCTCACACACTGGGCTCCTCCTCGTGGCCCTGCCCCCACTAACCTGGGTACTAATACCTGCAGAGACATAAAGCTATGTGCAACACCATTCTCCCTGCCTCCTTAGACACACGGAGGAGAGAGGAAGTGTGGGACTGCAGCTGGGACTCAGAAACACTGGCTAACCTACAACTCTTACACCTATAGCTACTCACCCAGAAACCACATGTAAACTGGTGAAGGGGTCCCTCCACCCCACCCTGCAGCTGAGGCCTTATATCCTGGCCCTGAGGTTGGTGGGGGTGGAGCTCTTCCCTGCTGATCTCACACTCAACTCTGATTTCCACCTGCCTGTTACCTTCAGGCCCTTGGGTGTAGGTAGCTACAATGTTCAAATGACAGGTGTCTTCACTGTAACGCTAGCCCCTGAGGCAGGGTGGCAGTGAGCAGAGCTGCTACAGCTGCTAGGGGCTACGGGTCTCAAGGGGGGCCAGGACAGGAGGGTATAGGTGACACAGATAGGACCAGGCATCAGAGATCCAGGCAGAGAAGACCCCTGCCTCACCTCAGGAGACTGGAACAGGGATAACTCAGGAACCCCAGGCCTGGGGAGGGGGGGTACACTGTTCACTGAGGCCAGGGCTATTTCCCCAAAGTGTGTAACTGAGGCACAAGGCACGTGCTCCTGGGACAAGCAACCCTAAATTTCCCCAAATTAGCCAGGTGGTACCTGATGCCTAAGCAGCCCTGCCCAGAGGGGTGGGAATGCATCGTCCATGGGGGCTAGAGCTGCACCCCTCTCCTGGACGATAAGCCCTGCAAAGCTCACTGCAGCTGGGGCCCAGGGGCCTGAATCTAGGTGGGAACCTGCGGCCCCGGTGCTTGGGGCAGGATGGAGGGTTCTCTTTTCCTCCAGGCCTCTGTCTCCCACTTGCTCAGGGCCCACCCTGACTCACATGGCTGCAGCACCAAGCTGGGGTCTGGCCTCAGGTGCAGCCTCCTGGGCCCGGTAGTAGTCCTCGGCACAGGCGCAGATGACCCGCAGGACCCGCACTGTGGCACAGAAGTGAGACTTCACGAGAGGGCTGAGTGGAGCCAGTCCCGGGACAGCCCTGGGGCCAGGCACCGCCTCCCCCCCCAACCCGCCCCCCGCCCCACCCCATCACTTGGAGCTAAGCGGAGCTGAGAAGCTCTCTCTGGAAGGTAATGCCCTCGAACCATGGATGTCCCATGAGACACAGCCCCCATCTGCTAGGAGTAAGGTCTGCAGCTCAGAGGCAAACAGAGACTCTAGGTCACCCTCTGGGATGGCACCTTATCTGAGCTTCTTTCCCTCCTGTCCTCCCAAACTGCGACCCCCTCACCAATGCACTCCAGCTTCTTCTGGGGGCAGCTCTCCAGAACCAGCAAGCCTAGCTCTTGGGCTGCAGCACAGTAGGGGTAGGCACCAGCTCCTGTGGCCTCCAGGTCCCGGGGGAGAAGCTTCGAGGGTATCCCTATGGCTGCTGGGGGTGCATTCCTGTAGAGTTCCATGCTCCTGCTCAGGGCAGCCTCCCGGAGGCGGTGCACACTCCTGGGGCAGAGACAGGCCAGGCTCAGCTGCCCAGGGGACTCTGCCCCAGAGATGGAGGCAGGGCTAGGGAAAGCAAGCTGTATCCCCTGTATCCCCGAGTCACAGGAGGTTGCTGTGGCACCACCTGAGAACCAGAAGCATCTGAGGATGGCCAGCAAAGGGTGGGGAGCAAGGGGAAGGCCCTGTGAGGGGTGGTGCTGGGATCATACCTGTAGAGTGCCAGCAGCAAGGGCCACAGAGGAGAGAAGAAGGGTTCCTCGATGCAGGCTAGGCACCGGTCCTTGGAGGCAGCCGCACTCAGGCCTTCGAAAGCCAGGAGGGTCAGCGAGAGCAGCCTGTCTGCCGGGAGCAGAGCCGGCACAATGGCACTGTGGGGACGGCTGGGCCCTCTAGCCCCAGGCCGGCAGCCCCTGGAGGTCATCCCCAGCCAGCCTGGAGTGTCTGAGGGGGGCCCCATACCTGTCCCCTCCTCTCCCACCCACTGAGAGCCAGCCTCAGTGTGGACAGCACCAGTGTTCTGGCTCGGTGGGGAGTGGCTCTGCCTGAATCTCTCCCCTCCAAGTCCCCACTCCTGTATCCATGGGGTCTGGGGCCAGAACACTCTAGAGCTCAAGGATCATGCCTAGCCCCCCTGAGGAGCTAATCAGACAGGCTCGCAAAGGACAGCCTCTTTCTGAGGGTTTGTACTCCATGCTGCGGGGGGTAGGAGCTTTAGAAGCACATTTACAACAAGACCTTCAGCCCAGGGACTTGGGAGACCCATCGGGGGATTTTGGAAGGCATGGACCTTGAGAACCAAGGCCCCTCAACTGCTGGGACTCCCTCACTGCTTCTTAGAAAACCCTGGAAGCCTTCTTCCTTGGAAGGTCTTGGGGTCACCAGCTACCCCAAGTGCCAACCTTTAGCGAATCCACACACTATTCTCAAAATGGAAAAGGCCACTATCAGCACTGGCTGGTTGGGAATGACCTGAGTCCAGCCCTGTGGGCCAGCCTGGACCACCTGTTGACCAGAGGATCTTCCCCAAACAGAAGGCTGGGATGGACCAGGCCATGCTTCCCCCATGCAGCCCAGTGAGCAGACAACCTGGGATCGAAGACCTCGGGGCCCCTGCCAGCCCCAGCTGCTCTCAGAGCAGGGTATGTTCCTGTCTGCTAAACATGGAGTTCTCCTCAGAGAACGGTGGACAGAGAGGGTTCTGCAGATCAAGCCTGGCTGGCCGCCGAGAAGAAGGCCTGCCCTCCCCAGGGCCTATCCTAGGCCTGTGAAAAGCATTTCACTGAGCACAGGCTTCAGAGTGGGAGCAGCTCCCTTCACCCACCCACCCGTCCTGCAGGCACGCTGGCCCTCACCGATAGCGTTGTGTATGTCCTTCACAGCACTCTTCAGCTGCTCCAGCAGCGGCTCCTTCTTCACCCCTGTTGTTTGGGGCTCAGGTGGCCTCCCATGCCCCCGGCCCCACCCCTCAGAAGTAGCCAAGAAGTGTTCGAGGTCTTCAAAGGAGCTGTCTTTGCCCTGTACAGCGGTGAAGCTGTGCGCCAGGGGTGAGGGAGGCCCCACAGGGCTGCTGTCCAGCCCTCTTTCAGGGGGGCCAGTGTGGGGAGGGGGTGTAGGGGGACTGGCATGGGTGCCATCTGGGGGCCGTGGGGCTGGGCTGGGATCTGCAGGGGATAGCATGCAGTAGAGGCTCTGTGAGGGCCGGAGCCGCCGGCTTCCAGGAGCCAGCAGCCCGTCGGCGTCCGGGGGCAAGGAGCAGCAGCCAGGGGCAGAGGCGGCACCAACAGCGCCCCTGCTCACGATGGGGTACAGTGCCCGGTACACCGCACACTGGAGCTTCTTCAAGAGCTGTGAGATGGGGTGGTCGGGAATGCTGCGAGCACAGGAAGAGGTGTGGGGGCACAGCGCTGTGGCCACGCCCTCACCTGCCATCCACCCACATACAACATGTCCCCACAGGACTTGTGTCGAAGGACCGACTCTTGCATTGTTTCCTTGTGAGTGAATGTGGCAGATAAAGTCTGACCCACCCTCTGAGAAGGTAGAAGAGAGCCGCTGAACAACCGTGAGGAAAGCTGGATGGGACATCTGCCACCCCAGCCCATCTGAGGGAGCCCATGTACGCCCTGTATGGCCACCCCTGATCTCCTTCGTCTCTCTCCTTTCTGACCCTTTTGTTTGTCATCAGGGCCAGCAAGGTAGGGGGTCTGAAGGCCCCTGGTACCTGAGTAGGTGGGAGACCAGGCTGGTCACTAGCGACAGGTCCCCTGGGCTCTTCTTGAGCTGGGCCCTCCAGTGCTTGGGCCAGTCCTGCAGGGCAGAAGACTCTGGGGAACATGGCCGGGTCCCTGTGTCCTTCCCAGCCACGGCTGCACCCGGGGAGACCAGTGCCACATGGTCTGTGCCCTCTCTGGGGTGTAGGGAAGACCCAATGGCAACAGGCCCCCGAAACAGCAAACCCACCCCCAGCTCCCAGGACTCACATGGTCTTGCTCGTACTCGAGGATAGCAGCATAGAGGGCCCGCTGCTCCCGCTCCTCCGGGGTCAGGGCAACTTGACTGCAGAACCTCCTGGGGAGAGAGACGAGGCTAGGAGCTTCAGGCTGGGTGGCAGGTGCAGAAGTCCCCATAGTCCTCTCGGCTGTCCCCAGACCAATGGGAGCAAACATACCTGTTGGCTGCCTCCTGGAGCCGTAGCCGGCGCTCCTCCATCTTTCTCTGCAGCTGGGACAGCAGTCAAGGAGATGTCTGGTGAGGCAGCCCCTACTCACCTGTATGGAATCTCTGGGCATCCAGGAGACACGGTCAGGAGAGGAGCCCCTGGGTAGTAAGAGGGATCGGATGGACTGTGCAGAGACAGGCAGGACAGGAGCACACGTCCTTCAAGCACACGCCTCTCTGAAGCTGGACGAATTCTGTCCCCACCCCACCCCCTTCTCCCTCAGCTCAGGACACCAGGTATGGAGGGAAAGGATACTGTCTCCTCCCGAGCTTTGGCGATCACGAGGTTCTCCATCATCTGCCGCTGCAGGGACAGAGTCTAGGAAGGGAAGGAGATAAGGACTGTTCCTCTTCTTCTCTTTTTTTTTTTTAATTTTTATTTATTTATGATAGTCACACAGAGAGAGAGAGAAAGAGAGAGGCAGAGACATAGGCAGAGGGAGAAGCAGGCTCCATGCACCGGGAGCCCGACGTGGGATTCGATCCCGGGTCTCCAGGATCGCGCCCTGGGCCAAAGGCAGGCGCCAAACCGCTGCGCCACCCAGGGATCCCTTCTTTTTTTTTTTTTTTAAGATTTTATTTATTCATGAGAGACATAGAGAGGCAGAGACATAGGCAGAGGGAGAAGCAGCCTCCATGCAGGGAGCCCAATGTGGGACTTGATCCCAGGACCCCAGGATCACGACCTGAGCCAAAGGCAGATGCTCAACCACTAAGCCACCCAGACGTCCCGCCTGTTCCTCTTCTACCACCAACCCAGACCCTCCCAGGGGCCCGCTCACCAGGGATGTCTTCTGCATGGCCTGGCTGGGGTCCAGGCGGGCCATCCGTGCCTCATAGGCAGCCTTCAACTTCTGATTCTGCAGAGAAGCCTCCTCCAGAGGTGTCAGCTCCCTGCAATAGTGACAAGCTGCTGTCCAGGCTCTAGGAAGCCCTGGAATACCTGGAAGCTCTGGTGACCTGAGGACCCTCCCTGAGACCAGAAGATGAGCAGGTGGTGGTGGGAGCAGGAAGGAAGTAAAAAGGAGGGAGGAGGTCTGGGGTGGACTGGAGACCCGTGCCCTGCTCACCCAGACCAGCAATTGCCAAGACCTCTGATTTTTCAAGAGAAGCTGGACATTGCGCTTTTTTGAAGATTGGTTATACATGTTTGGGAACAGTATGAAACTTCTTAAAGGCATCATGTGAGCTAAACAGCTAGATGAGTTTGCCACCATTAAAAAGAGAACCATGTCTACTTTGTAGAAACAACCACCAAAAATACTGCCCCCTGCTCAAAAAAAAAAAACTTTTGTCCTCACATATCTTCATGCTTTCCTGGTAGGAGAGGGTCAGTTGTGAGGACCCCAGCTGAGGAGGGAGTTTGTCCTGGGTTGGAAGTCTTGTGCCTGGCCCTGCCCCCAAACTGCACAGGCAAAAGTGAGGTGCCGGGACCCTCTCAGTGGCAGCGGCCCCCAAGGCTTGGCAGCAGGTGGGCCAGGAGGAGCCAGTCCTTGTCTTTCCTAGTGAGGATTTTTTTTTTTTTTAATGATAGTCACAGAGAGAGAGAGAGAGAGAGAGGCGCAGAGACACAGGCAGAGGGAGAAGCAGGCTCCATGCACCGGGAGCCCGATGTGGGATTCGATCCCGGGTCTCCAGGATCGCGCCCTGGGCCAAAGGCAGGCACCAAACCGCTGCGCCACCCAGGGATCCCCCTAGTGAGGATTCTCGTATCCATGTCTGCGTGTGTTTATCAGTTCTAGAAACTAATACCCTGGGGCGCCCGGGTGGCTCAGTCAGTTGGGTGTCTGACTTCGGCTCAGGTCATGATTGGCCCAGGGTCCTGGGATTGAGCTCTGCCTCTGCTCCCTGCTCTGCGGGAGCCTACTTCTCCCTCTCCCTCTGCCTGCCACTCCCCTGCTTGTGCTGCATGCTCTCTCTGTCAAATAGATAAAATCTTTAAAACAGAAAGGAAAAAAAAAAGGAACTTATATCCTGTTAGCTCTTCAAATAATGCCTCTCCCATTTTGTTTGCTTTTTTCCAGAACTCCGATATTCCTGTGTTAGATCTTCTCTCTCTCTTTTTTTCCTCCCCTTCTGAGTCATTCTCGGTACCTACTGACCTTTTAACCAATTCACTCATTCTTTCCGCAACTATGTCTACTTTGTTGTTATAAAATCGACCACTCATTTCCTATGCAAGTGTGGACTTTCATTGGAAGATGTAATTTGTTGTTATTGTTTTCTCTTAGTTTTTTTTTTTCGAAGATTTTATTTATGCATGAGGGACACAGAGAGAGAGAGAGAGGCAGAGACACAGGCAGAGGGAGAAGCAGGCTCCATACAGGGAGCCTGACGTGGGACTCGACCCTGGGTCTCCAGGATCATGCCCTGGGCTGAAGGCAGTGCTAAACCACTGGGCCACCCAGGGATCCCCTTCTTTTAGTCTTTAAAACAATGTTGGCATTATATTTTTCATTTTGTTTTTACTTGTTTCTTCCTTTGCTGGGTCAGATTTTATGGGTTTTTGTTCCCTGGAGCTCTTTTCAAACTTCTTTTTTACTTCTGCAAACACAAGGAGTGTGATAGTTTCATGATAACCACACCTGAATACTTCCAAGTCTGTGTCTGCGATTACTCTGTAACTTTCTCATTTCTTCTTCTGTTTATCTCTGTGTGTCATTCATGCACATGCTTTTGTGCAAAGGGGATTTGCATTTGTTTTTGTCAAGCACGTAGCTATTTCCATTCTGCAACCCATTTTAACTACAATCAATCATCATGGTTAGCTCACTTTTCTTGGAATTCAAACCTAGGCTCAGCCCACCTTCCATTTTGCCCCCTCTTACTTCTTAGAACTTTGTGACTCTACCACCTGAAGCTTCTGGAAGATCTCAGGCGGCAGAAACGGAGATAGTTTCCCCCCTTCGTCTGAGTACACCCGGCGATGTCGGCTGGTAGATGAGGGGACAGGAGCAGCCACAGGCATAGCTGGCTTCAGGTGTGTTTTCCCTGAAAGACATGTCAGCAAGGGGCAGCATGGAGTCCAATGTTCCACACAGATGCAGACTTGCAGGGGGATGCCCATGAAGATCTGCTGGAGACCCACCAAGCTTGGCAGCTGTGGACTGGGCCCTCTCCAGACACTGCTCAGCCAGTTTCAGCATCTTTGAGGTGTCTGGAGCCACAATTTCTCCACCTTTTGGGGATCAAGAGACAATAAAGTTGGTCATTATCACCTTTATTACTCAGTAGATTCTTGCTGAGATAAAAACAAGGACAAGCCTATCCCCCTCCTCATCTCTGACCTCTAGGTCACCATCCCCTCCTTTCTGATTATCTGCCCTGGGTTTACCTCCTGAAGTTGTGTGGGCTCTGCGCTTGGCCTGCCTAACATCTGGCTGTCCTGTTGTCCCAGCGGGACCATCAGAGCCCCCTCTCTCCCTAACCAGGCCTTTTCTCAACAATGGCTTTCCTTGTACTTACAGCCCCTCCAGGTGGGCCTTGCAGTGACCACAGACCATTTCACAGAGATGACTTTGTCACCTGTCTCCTGCCCTCTAGCTCTGCTTGACCCCAGCCCTGGCATATCCGCAGGTCTTCTGTTCTGCATTCCCCTCTCTGGCGATCACTTCTGTCATGTTGAAGGAACTGGACCCCACCAGCCTTAGTTTCCAACCGAAGTAATGTTCCCTTTATAGCCAGCCTCTCACCACATCCTATTTCAGCCATTTGACTCCCAATGAAACTCCCCTCACTCATACCCTCATGTCGAGCCCTTCTCTGAGGGCTCCTTGACCTCTCCAGAACACTCTCCTGGGTATAGCCCTGTGCTCTCCTGTGAGGCCTGTCTTGGAGTGCCCAGAGCTCTACTAAGCTCCCTGGCTCCTCACGACCCCGCAGCCCACCCCCCTAAACAATGTGGCCCTATATCCACCAAGGTGCTCAGCACTTCAAGCACAATATGCTCATGCTGGAGCTCTCTCTTCATCCCACACAAGTCAGCTCCTGCCACTCTCTGGGTCACCTCTCTGTACCTCACTGTTTCCCCCCAGCAGTTCAACTCCCCCATCCCACCAGCCAGTGGCTCACCCTCCCCCCTGCAAATCTGTGAGGTCCACCTTTATGTTTATCCTTTTTTTTTAAAAAAAATATTTATTTATTTATTTATTCATGAGAGATACACAGAGAGAGGCAGAGACACAAGCAGAGGGAGAAGCAGGCTCTCGGCAAGGAGCCCGATGTGGGACTCGATCCTGGGATCATACCCAGAGCCAAAGGCAGATGCTCAACTGCTGGACCACCCAGGCGCCCTATTTTTATCCAATTTTATTTTTATTTATTTACTCATGAGAGACACAGTGAGGGGCAGAGACACAGGCAGAGGGAAAAGCAGGCCCCCTGTGGGGATCCCAATGCAGGAGTTGATCCCAGGACCCCAGGGTCACACTCAGAGCCAAAGACACTCAAGCACTGAGCCACATAGGTGTCCCAATCAGGTCCACCTTTATTTATTTATTTTTTTAAAGATTTTATTTATTTATTCATGAGCCACACAGTGAGAGGGGAGGGGTGCAGAGACACAAGCAGAGGGAGAAGCAGGCTCTGTGCAGGGAGCCTGCTGTGGGACTCAAACCCAGGACTGCAGGATCAGGCCCTGGGCTGAAGGTGGTGCCAAACCGCTGAGCCACCCAGGCTGCCCCAGGTCCACCTTTAAAGAACATCCTCAAGCCCTTCACTCCTTCCATCTCCAAGTGGTTCTACCACTGCTTTCCTCACTGTAGTAGCCTCTGGAGGCTCTGCTTCCATGCTGGCCTCTCTCCCACAAAGCCTCTACAAGTTTCCCCTTACACCAGAATGACCCCAGTTGCACCCAAGGCCACGACAGCCCCAACTCACCTACTCTTCCTTGTACCCAGTATCCACTCTCATCTCAGGGCCTTTGCACATCCCTCTGCAAAGAGTGTTGCCAGCAGCCCCTGACCTTTCCACAGCTCCCTCCTTCCTGAGCTGGGATTTGATGTCCAGTCTCTGCTTAGGCCCCATCCCTTCCTGCTTCCACATCACACAATGGCAGCTCATGCTTACTTTATGCTCACTCATTCACCTTCTGCTAATGACCAGCAGGTAGGACACAGGACACCCCCAAGCCTGAGACCCACCAAGGGCTAAGCTATTTGTAATTTGTTCAGCACAGGAAAGTCCTGAGGCTGGGAGCTGTACCTTTGGTGGTTTCCACTTCTTCCAGCAGCACCTGGGAGATATAATGGATGCTCCTCAGGTATTCTGTATATGCCTCCTGGGCCCAGAGAAGAGAAATGCCAGGGGTCAGGCCAGTACTGGCAAACGGTTCCAACAGACCTGTCTCATGCCCTTGCGGGAAACAGAGACATGGTGTCTGCTCATCTCTTGAGTTTCACCTGAGCCATCTAGTCTGCGGTTGTTTGCTGCTAGTTCCTGCAGGTCTAGGTCATGCACAAAGAGCACCCCTCTTCTGTTGACCTGAAGGGCACCTATCTCTGCACTCAGGGCCTCTCCCCGGCACAAGAGGCACGGAGATTCTCCTTCAGTGCACCAGGAGAAGCTGCCCTAACCATTGCTGTTGTTTTTCACTCTGCAACAAGTTCCCTTCCCATGCAAGTCAGGGGCTCTTAGGGCTTAAATAAAAAATAAAAAATTTCCAGAGAGGTTACTGAGGGAGATGTTGCAAATCTTAGAAATCGCTATGTGGCTTCAGTTGTGGGCAGTCCCTTTCCTGAGCACGCCACCATACCCCACATGAGACTGCTGCCAGTTTCAGGGATCTGAACATTTTCAGGGTCTGAGTCCGAGCCTGGTGTCCGGTGGTGGCACCAGTGCCTTCAGGAGCCCCATCTAGGGCTACCCCCTACTGCCCAGTAGGGGAAATGGATTCCAGAAAGGACTTCTGACCCATGTGGACACCTATGGTCCTAGAACACTGGCTCAGAGCAAGCAGCAGGCTGAAGACCTGCTGGGGCTGTGCACAAGGGCTGTCCTCTAGGGCCGTGCATGAGGGTTGTCCTCTGGGGCTGTGCACGGGGGCTGTCCACTAGGGCCGAGCACGAGGGCTGTCTTCTGAGGCTGTCCACTGGGGCTGTGCATGAGGGCTGTCCTCTGGGGCTGTGCACGGGGGCTGTCCACTGGGGCCGTGCACGAGGGCTGTCTTCTGGGGCTGTCCACTGGGGCTGTGCATGGGGACTCTCCCCTGCAGCTGTGCATGAGGACTTTCCATTGGGGCTGTCCTCTGGGGCTGTGCATAGGGGCTGTCCACGGAGGCTGTCCTCTGGGGCTGTCTATGGGGGCTATCATCTGGGACTGTGCACGGGGGCTGTCCTCTGGGGCTGCCCACTGGGGCTGTGCATGGGGACCCGGCCTGCTGCTCCACCCCGACAGTGACCCGCCAGTCACAGGCCCACTGCCCGGCCCGCGTCCCCTCCGAACCGGTTCTGCGGGAGACGCGTCACCGAGCAGCCCCGTGTAGCCTCCCCATGATGCCGTCCCTTGGGCTCTTCCCGGGAAAGCACACATCGCTCAGGAAATCGCTTGCCAAACGCATTTCGCAGGGCTGCCTCCAAGCCCCTCGCGAAGCCCCTCGCGAAGCCCCTCGCGAAGCCCCTCGCGAAGCCCCTCTAACCCCGGGCGCTGCGAGCTGTCCAAGGTCACGTCCGCCGCCCACGCCCAGCGCCCCCGAGACCGCGAGGGGAGGGGGTCCGAGACGCGCCCACCTCCACCCGGCCCCGCCCCCGCCTCAGGCCCCGCTCCCCTTCCCCTGCCGCCGCCCCCTCCCTCTGCCCTGCCGCCGCCTGCCCCGCCCTCGGCCGCCGCCCCCGCCTCGCTTTGTGTCGCCTCACCCGGGGCCGGTTGCCGGTGTCCAGTTCGATGGCCCCGTTGGCCAGCTTCATGGCGCACTGCAGCGGCTTCACCGCGCCGTCCCCGGCCGCAGCGGCCATGGCGCCGGGCGGGGGAAGCCGTGGCTGTGGACGGCTGCGGCGGCGGGGCCGCGGCAGCGGCGGAGCGCCGGACCGGCGGCGGGGAGCCCGGAACACAGCCTGCGCGGGAGCCGGCGCCGCCCGAGCCCTGGACCGCCGGAAGGGGCGGGGCCTGCGCGGCAGCCCTTCCGGCGGCCCGGGTCCGGCCGCTGCTCGCGCGGAGCTCCCGGGGCTAGAAGGGCGGCGGCGCTCGCAAGTAGCCTCACGTCGTAGCTGCGAGCGAGTAAGTGTACCAGTCGGCACCTGCACTCCACGTCTGTGACATGCCAAACGCGTGGGCCCTACCGTGCCGCCCCTGCCCCCTTTCCTGGCCTTTCCCCTCGCTGCCCCGCCCCTCCCTCATCGCTCCGCCCCGCTTCCTGGGGGCCGAACGGGGCCGAACGGCGGAGTCGAGCGGAAAGGAACGAGCACAGTCCAGCTGAGCTGACGCGCGAGGCTCTGGGCCGAGCAGGACTTAACCCGGTCGAGAGGCCGGGCCCAGCCCACACAGCGGGGCCGAGCTGATCCGAGTGGAGCCGAGCCGGATCGAATAGGGCCGAGCGGAGCCGAGCCGGGGCCGAGCCGAGCCGAGCCGAGCGGGGCCGAGCCGAGCGGAGCCGAGCTGGGCCGAGCCGGGCCGAGCCCCGGGGCCCGGCTGTAGCCTCGGCCGCCGCCATGAAGCGGGACCGGCTGGGTCGCTTCCTGTCGCCTGGGGCGGCGGGGCAGCGCGGGGGCTCCGGCGGCGGTGGCAGCGGCCGGACCCGAGGCCGGCCGGCCCGCAGCGGGCCGAGCGTGGACGAGGCTGCGGCCTTGGTGGCGGCGCGGCTGGGCTGGGGCCTGGCGCGGGCCCGCGGGGACCCGGGCGAGGACGGCGCCGACGAGGCAGGTGGGTCCGGCCGGGCGCTGGCGGGGCGGGGGTCCGTCGGCGGGGACGTGCTGCCCGGGCGCCGTCCGGCCAGGCCGCTGACCCTTTCGTGCCCGCTGTGCGCTCACCGAGGGGTTTGCGCGTAGGGGTGCTGGCTTTGCTGTGTGCTGTGCAGCCTGAGGTCCGCGCCTAACCTGTCTGGGCCTCCGTGGCCTCTTCCTTAGAGCAGAACGGAGCGGGTCGGGTGCCGGAGGCCCTCGCCCGGTAGGTGATGCCCCCGCCCCGGGGACCCTGCTTCCCCGGGGGCCGGGGGTGGCGGCGGGGGCAGCGTCTGCAGACGAGAGGCCGGGGTCGAACCTGGACGGGTCAAGGTCCCCGGCTGCCGGCGCCTTGCTTGGGGCGGACGGCCTGTGCTTCTGCAGTGTCAGGAGCCCGGGAAGGCACCGATGAACGAATGTGGTGCCTCAGCCGGGCACTGGGCCCGCGCGGGCTGTCTGACCCGGGTCAGCGCGCAGGGCGGTTCGGTTCTCGTGGTGACAGCGTAGCCGCTTCCAGAGCCGTCACCGGGCCTGGTTTTCTGTCCGCTCCCCTGCCCCCCCCCCCCCCCCCGCCCACAGCTTCTCGGTTCTCCGTGACGTGGTGTCATCGTTTCTAATGTCAGATATGTAAGTGAGGTCATGTGGTGTTTGTCTTTTTCTGTCTGACTTTCCTTGGGGCCATACCTCGGCCGTCTATCCGTGTGGTCACACGGGCAGGATTTCCTTTTTTAGGGCTGAGTAATATTCCGTTGACCGGGGGCACTCGCACCCACCCCACTTTTTTTTTTTTTTTTTTTTTTGGTCCATTCGTTAACCTATGGACTTCCCTTATTTCCACACCTTGGCTGTCGAAAATGATGTTGCAATGAAAATAGGAGAAAACACTAACTCAAAAGTTTCCTTTGGGTAAATACCCAGAAGTAGAATTGTTGGGTCAAATCGTAGGTTTTTTGTTTTTTTTTTTTAGATTGATTTGTTTATTTTAGAAAGAGGGTGAGCGTGCTCATGAGAGACAGTGAGGGAGCAAGGGGAGGGACAGAGGTGGAGGCAGAGGGGAAGCTCCCTGCTAAGCAGGCAGTGGGCGGTAGGCCCCGGGCAGTGACTGAGATGGTGACCTGAGCCGAAAGAGGCACTCAGGCTACTGCACCACCCAGGTACCCCTGATTGCTTTATTTTTAATTTTATAAGGGTCCTGCAGCCTGTTTTCAAAGAGACTGTATCAATTGATAAAATTTGCATTCTCACCAAGAGTGCCTAAGGGTTCCCTTTTCTCCACGTCCTCGAACACTCACTATTTGTCATCTTTTTTGAGAATAGCCATCCTAACAGGTGTGAGGTAATAGCTCATTGTGGTTTTGCATTTCCCTGATGAGCACATATGCACTTGTAGTCGTTAGCCATCTGTACGTATGTCTTCTCCTGAAAAATGGCTATTTAGATCCGATACCTGTTTTTGTTTTAAGATTTTATTTATTTGAGAGAGGGCAAGCAGAGGGAGAGGGAGACAAGCACACTCCTCACTGAGTGTGGACCCCCACATGGGGCTTGATCCCATGGTCCTGAGATCAGGACCTGAGCTAAAACCAGGAGTTGGAGACTTAGTCAACTGAGCCACCCAGGTACCCCTGCTGCCTATTTTTTAATTGGATTATGCTTTTGAATTGTATTAGTTCTTTATTTTAGATATTAATCCTTTATCAGATAAATGAGTGGCAAATACTTTTCCAAAATCAGTAGGTTGCCTTTTCATTTTGTTGATGGTTTTCTCTGTAGTGCAGAAGCATTTTACTTTCATGTAGTCCCACTTGTTTATTTTTTGCTTTTGTTGCCTTTGTTTTCAATGTCGAATCCAAAAAAATCATTACTGAGACTGAGGAGAAGGAATATACTTCCAGTGTTTTCTCCTAGGAGTTTGTGATTTTAGGTCTCACATTTACATCTTTAATCCACTTGGAGTTTATTTTTATGATTTAAGTTGGGGGCCTCGTTTCATTCTTCTGCTTGTGGCTGTCCAGTTTCCCAACATCATTTATTGAAAAGACTTACCATTTCCCCACAGTATATTCTTGCCTCCTTTGTCATAAATTAATTGACTACACATATGCATGGGTTTATATCTGGGCTCTCTATTCTGTGTCTGTTTTTATGTCAGTACTATACTGTCTTGGTTACTTTAGTTTTGTAATATAGTTCGAAATCAAGAACTGTGATGCTTCTGGCTTTATTCTTCTTTCTCGAGATTGCTTTGGTTGTTTGGAGTCTTTTGTGGTTCTGTATAAATTTTAAGATTGTTCTGTTTCTGTGAAAAATGCCACTAGAATTTGGTCAGGATTGCACTGAATCTGTAGATGACTTAGGGTAGCATGAACATTTTAAGACTCTTCTAATCCAGGAGTGCAGAATATTCATTTATTTGTGTCAATTTCTTTTGTCAGTGTCTCATAGTTGATTTTATATAGGTTTTTCATCTCTTTGGTTAAATTTATTCATAGGTACTTTATTTCTGATGCAGTTGTAAGTGGGATTATTTTCTTAGTTCCTTTTTTCTGGTACTTCATTACTGATTTTATATCCTGCAACGATACTGAATTTGTTCATTCCTAGAGTCTTTTGGGGAAGTCTTTAGAGTTTTCCATATGTAATACTGCATCGTCTGCAAATAGGGATAGTTTTTTTACTTCTTTTTTTTCCCCCCCTATTTGGATATTTCTTACTTTTCTAGCCTGATTGCTCTGGCTAGGACTTCCAATAGTATATTGAGTAAAAGTGGTGAGAGTGAGCATCCTTATTTTTTAATCTTAGGGAAAGCTTTCTGCTTTGTACTTGTGTGTATAATGTTAGCTATGACATTTATCATGCTGAGGTACATTCTCTCTCTACCCACTTTGTTCAGAGTTTTTATTATGATGAGCATTGAATTTTGTCAGAAACTTTTCTGCATTTATTGAGCTGTTCCTATGATTTGAATCCTTCGTTTTGTTAGTGTGTATCACATTGATTGGTTTGTGGATGTTGGACCATCCTTGCATCCCTGGAATAAATCCCACTGGATCCTGGTATATGAGTCTTTTAGTGTATTGTTGAATTTGGTTTGCTAATGTTTTCATGAGGGTTTTTGCGACTGTATTTGTCAGGGTTATTGGCCTGTAATTTTCATTTCTTGTGGTGTCCTTGTCCTGTTTTGTTATCAGGATAATTGTGGCCTTGTTGTAGAAGCACTTAAAATTCTCTGAAAAGTTTTCTGGACCAGAAGGGCCTACACTGACCACACCTCCCAAAGGCTGTATGTTCAGCTGGGAGCTCAGAGCCAGAGCCCTGCCTTTGGCCCAGATGTGGGTTTGTGTTGAAGAGGTGTATGTGGGGAAGCTCCCTGGAGGGTCTTCTCCACTTGGGGAGCTGGGAGGATAGCAGAGCATGGGCCTCACCTCCCCTGGGCCGTGGCTCGCTTCCTAGGAGCTTGTGTTTTCCTTGCCCTGTGCAACGAGCAACCTCGCCTGCTGACTTAATGTCCCTGTGCTTGCCCAGGAACAGGCCGGGCTCTTGCCATGGGGCACTGTCGCCTCTGCCATGGGAAGTTCTCCTCACGGAGTCTCCGCAGCATTTCTGGCAGGGCACCTGGGGACAGTTCAGGCAGACCACCTCCAGGGGAGCGAGTTTTCACCAGGGACTTCCAGCATCTGCTGGGGGTGGCCGTCCACCAGGACCCAGCTCTGTCTCAGTTCGTCTGCAAGAACTGCCATGCCCAGTTCTACCAGTGCCATGGCCTCCTTAAGTCCTTCCTGCAGAGAGTCAACGTCTCCCCGACGGGCCACCGGAAGACTTGCACAAAGTAAGCATTCCTCCTTCATTCATTTGGTGGGCTTTCAGGGATCGAGCACCCTGCGTGCTGGGGCTGTTCTAGGCCCCCAGAGTGTGGGGTGGGGGTGTGTGTCTCTGCAATGGGGAGATACCTCCTGCCCGGAGCAGCAGCCGTGTGTGAGCACCAGTGTGACTGGTGTGAGGGAGGTGGACAGACGTGCATGAGGACGGTGAGGCCCTCAAAGGGCCCTGAGATGAAGACAGCTCTTGCAAGAGAAGTTTCAGACAGCATGTGGGAGAGGTGACCTGTGAGAGGGGTCTGGTGAGCCCGAGTCTTGTTCACTGCTAGCCCAACTCACAGCCATCC